TGTCTCTAAGTTTGAAGTTTAGGCATTTTCCTGGTAAGTAGGAAAACTATTTAGGGATGTCTTCCTTGTTTCTTTAAATCTCTTACAACCATCAAAGGCCATAGCATTCAACATGTGACCCACATAGAGACACCTGGCAAAGAGGGATGTAATGCTGAAAGGCATTTCTGGTGAGAATGATGTTCGCAATTTGAAATTCTAGTTTTTCCAACTTCAATCAAATGTATTAAGCCTACACTCTGTACCACAAAGTTAGGAATCATTTCCCCAAATCTATCTCTTCAAATATTGAGCAATCATCTGAAGTAGGAGGTGAGGGGCCACAGTTTCTGCAAAAAAAAAAATCCTGAATAGAATCCTAAGGGATATCCTCTAGTATGAGGTGGGTAGTTTTTCCCAGAATAAGGTGAAAACCAGGGACTTAGAGAAGTGCAGTGAAGAAATAAATCTTTGAATTGGAGAGGAAGTGGAGTAAATGAACGATGAGCTGGATGGGTCAACAATACCATCAGGCCAAGGGACACCATGTAGCAGCATGAAGAAAAAGTTGTCAAAGTTTAAAGAAAACAACCAAGAGGCCAATTCCTCTCCACGACCTTAACATGAAAGCCCTTTCAGAAAGACTTTCCTAGTTTGCTTTAAACAAACAAGAAATCCTCTACCCCACACAGGTGGGCTCTTAGGACCCTCCGACTTCCCCCAAGTGGGTGAGTTTCCAGCAGGTGGACTAGGTGGGAGCTGCCCAGAGTGCTCCTGCCACTCCCCTCAGACATCCTGCACTAGAGCCCCAGGGGGAAGTGGACGGTGCCTGCCTTATCAACTAATGACCCAGAACTTAGCAGAGTAGCCACTCAGTTAAAGTCTTCTGGAAGTCAAATGCGCATGGCTCTGGTACTTCAGTTAGTGAACTCTTTAGAGTAAATGGCAGAGACTTCATCTGTGATTTCTACATCTCTCTAGCTTCATTGCCCTCCTCACCATTTTCTGAATAGGTTTGAACACCACTAAGAGTGGTGCATTCTGGGAAATGGCGGCCTCCTTGGCCAGGCTGAGTCACACCAGCTTCCCTCATCTTCATGCAGGACCACTACTGTCACAGAATCAAAGTAAAGGGAGATTTGCGTTATCCCCAGCAACTCTCACACTGAGAACCTAAAAGACCATTCTCACCTACTGTCCAGTAACCCAGGAAAGTGCTGGTGAGCAGCCATCCATTTGGCTTCAAAGGGTTATCACAGAGTCATTTATAATCCCCGTGTGCACACATGTCCAGAACATTGACTGAAGAGAAAGACTATTACCGAGCTCTTTTCTTTTACCTCAAACCTCCCTCAGCAGTGTTTGGCAGGGGCCCCAGAGAAATGGCTGGGGAAGCTATCAATATCGTTTTGATGTAGGCCTCCTCCACTTTTGTAGTCCCCATCTTTCAATAAAACTGTCTCTTTCTGCTTCCACAGATGGCGGGAGAAATAAACAGCAGAATATGCCTCGTATAGATGGCCAGTGGTTCTTTTTCAGTATGTGCCAAGTACAGCAGGGGGTTTTAATTATTATTTAAATTGTATAACAGAGAATGATAAAAGAAGTGCATAAAACACTAAACAATATTTTTTCATCAGAATTAAAACATAGCCTGCAACTTTGGGAAAGTTAAATTTTAAAAGAGACTTTTTTCTTTCTTTCTAATTTCTTCTGCATTCCCAAATAACCCATTCATTTGTTCATTTTTTAAAAAAATTATTGACCACCAAGTAATAGTGGACATTAAGTGGACAACAGAGATTTAGGATGCAGGAAGGGAACAGTAAGAAATAGATTTCATTTATTTATTTTCTTTCCAAATAAAATGCATACTTGAAATATCTTCAGGAAATGCCACTCCAGGAAAAAAAAAAAAGCGGGGAATTATGAGGAATGCAATTGCAAGTTCTAATCACGCATGGCTGCTGTTTCTCCTCCTCTCCCTCTGCCCATGCTACTAGGTGAAACTCATTTTTTTTCCCCTGGGGAAGAAGAAATGATCTTGCTCCTCCTGTCCATGACACTGACTTCTTACCTCCCTCTGTCTCTAAGTGAGCCTGCACCTGACGGATGGGCATGTGTTTGCATCCTCCCTCAAGGGGCTTACAATTATCTTCAAATGAGCCCCAGAAGGAAGCAAGATATCCCATCTACATAGTATCTTGCACAGCCACAAGTTTTTATGTTCAAATTCTCTTTGAGCCTAGCAAGTGTGAGGCCCTGAATTCAAGCCCCAGCATCACCAAAAAAAAAAAAAAAAATTAAAATTCTCTTCTGTCAAATGCTTAACCATCTCTTCTAAACACTAAGATGATGATATTAAGAGGTTGGAAATACAATTTTCATTGCTTATCACTTACAACCCTCTTTCAACTTTCAAAAGAGATTTAAGGCTACTTTAAAAAATCATGTCTGTCATATAACTTTTAAAATTGAGTTGCATGAAGAAGTAGAGGAAGCTTTTATTAGTCCTTTTCATTTCTTTCATGGAAGTTCCATTTTAAAAAACAATGAAGTAGGCCAGGCATGATGGTACACACCTGTAATCCCATCTACTCAGGAGGCAGAGGTAAGATGATCACAGTCTAAAGCCAGCCCAAGCAAAAGCATGGTACCCTATCTGAAAAATAAAGAACCAAAAGAACAGGAGATGTGGCTCAAGTGGTAGAGCACTAGTCTAGCAAGTGTGAAGCCCTGAGTTAAAACCCCAGCTTCCATATTATATAGAGATTACTTCTCAAATTGCTATCTTTCTACCTTGTGTTAAAGCTTCCTCTGTGCCTTATGGGCCAGGCATGCTCAGTCCTACTGCTCAAGAGTGCTCAGAGAGTATGGTCCACAGTACACACCCCACAACCCTCTTAAATATGAGGGAATTGACGTTTTAGGAGTTGAAGTAGCTTGCTCGAGGTCACACAGCTAGCAAGAGACAGAGAGAATTCTAATCCAGGTGTGATGGTCTCTAGAGCACTCCATCACTGATAAAGATTTTTAAATAGGAGGTCACATCCTATTAGTGGATCATGAAATCAATTTAGTGGGTTCTGATTGCTTTTCAAGTGAATGAGCTAGAGTAGCAACAATCACAGTTCATCCCAGACAGTAAGAGGTAAGTGACTTTCCAAAGAATTTTGTCTGATTGTGAGTGTGTTTGGGTATTGGTGTGTGCAGGTATGAAAGAGGTAGAAGGGGTGTGGGAGTGGCTGGGCACATATGTGGATGAAGATGGATGTATGGGTGGATGGGGAAGTGTGTGCGTGCTGGATTGTAATATAAAATTTATTTCTAACTGTGAATTGCTGCTTTAAAATTTGCAAAGCTACTACACTAAAATGCATTGAATCTCGCTCATTCATTTTCCAAATACAAGAACACAACTAGATTTTACAAATCTGCCTTCTATAGGCATCCTTACAAGCAAGAAGTCAAGAGACTTTAAGATCTATGACTCAATATGCCTCTCCCTTGTGAATAGTCTTGATAAGCGAACACCCAGAGCCAGGCAGCAGAGAAAAATCTTCCTAAAATAGTCACACACTGGACTAGACTCGTGCCTAGTTGCAGATAGTGAGTTATTTGCCCACCACTGCAGCACATGTAAGAACAAGTACCAGGGGAGAGGAAATCAAACTAGGACAAGGCTCTGGGTTGGTCTCTTCAGTAAGGAATCTCCAGAGACACCACATCGGAGTCTCAGAAAAGTATGCACAACACTGGCTTCCCCACGTGATGGCCAGCCGCTCTACTTTTAGGAACTTGCTAGTTCTCCAGGGTCGTCAGGACTCAATGACTAAAACTCTAATAACCTACTCATCCTCTAGTGATGTCACTAGAAGCTTAGCATGCACTTGTGACTCTAATGCAGCTTTAGGGCCTGCACTCAAACCCCTGCATTTTAACAAATGCATCATCTGTCCATCAAGGAAGATGAACAGGCTTCCCAACTTTAAGGGTGTCTTCAGAGGAATTGGGACATTTCACTGCAAGGCAACATTTGCAGGACAGCCCAAATGCCCTCATTGGGGCTTCCCCACCCCCAGAATCAGAACAGAACGGTCTTCATTTCTTTGCCTTTATCATTCTACACAATGTCAATTGGTGGCCATTAACATTCAATAAAATAATTTAAATTATCTAGCACAAAGTAGGTGATACTCCAAGAAGGTTTGTTCCCTATCCTGTTATACTAAAAAACATCATTGCCTGCACTGACCCGGAGAAATTCCTGGACACCATGCCAACCTTCAATGTCATGATTTCAACCAGTCATAATGAACTGTAGCCGTTTCTGTATCTGCCCTCTTCTTAAATCAACTTCTGTGACGTTTCAACTTGCACTCCTTTCTTAAAAAGACCAACTTCCAAAATTTTACTAGTCAATTTACGAACAGCACATCTCTTTATTTTCTGGAAAATACTCTCTCAAAATCAAAAGACCGTCTCTCACATCTAAATTTCTGGAATTGTTTTGTCCTTCCTACTCACACATACTATACTTTTGTAAATGTTCATTTTATTTCCTTTCCACACCAGGCATCTGTTCAGACTCTGCTGTTTTTGTGCTATGTTCCCTTCCCAAGAAGACTTTCATTAGTCTTCATAGAGGACTTAGACTTTTTGAAATGCAGATTCCAGACCCAATTGGTATCCTCATAGCACAAATGTTAAGAGTGGGCCTCTGGAGTCAGAGGTCCAGGTCAGACCCTCCCTGTCAGCTTCTAAGTGAATAACAAAGATGAAATAAAAATTCAAATTCAAAATGAACTCTGATCCATTCTGATCCATTCTAACATTCTAGCTAATGTTAGGCCTGATCTTGGTCACTTAAAATGTTAGCATTCAAGGTAGTAGAACAAAGGTACACTAACAATAACACCAGAAAACTTGCAAAATGAATGGCACAACATGGGAAGGGCCTGGCCCTGTTCACACTTGGTTCTCTTACCTAACACACATTTTTGTCCCTCCCTTGCACATAGGTTTTGCACTGACCGGAGGCAGCATGACTACTCCTTTGTGCGCCAGAGGGTATTTTCCCTGTGGGAACCTCACCAAGTGCTTGCCCCGGGCTTTTCACTGTGATGGTGTGGATGACTGTGGGAATGGAGCTGACGAGGAAAACTGTGGTGAGTGCCCCATTGGCTCCACATGCCTGCCTCACTGCATGTGCTCCCCCAAACTGTGGCTCAGCTGCCGTGAAGGTAATGCTCTGAAAGAGACAATCTGATATTCTGTAGGGAATCCCTTTGCAATAAAATTACTGTCTAATTTGTGATAATAGCCTGAATTTTCTTATAGTTTGCTTAAGTCAGAAACACAGTATTATAAAATGTTCCATTTTATTTAAAAAATTGAAATTATATTCTAAAATTGACTTAGGTACTCATGAGTTAATTTGAAGGGGTTTCCCATGACTATCGCCTTATGGCTGGTAATTTGGGCTCACCTAGAGAATTAATTGATTGGACAGACTGATAAAGAATGCCAACTATGTGCCAGGGGCTCTCCAAATCATTGGGGCACCGTACACGAAAGGGAAACAAGGGTCTTGAACTTTTGGAGTTCACATAGTTCAAAATGAGCTAAGAAGACCATAAACCTGCATAAGTAAATTAAGTACTCTCAGGGAGTGATGAATACAATCAATTTTTTTAAAGAAACAATGAGATTGAAATTGACGAGAGACATTGTAAGAACTGGATATGGTGACATTTGAATTGAGAACAAAATGGCAAAACAACAAAAGAAGCCATGAAATCTGGAGGTACAGAATTCCAGGCAAAGGAAAGAGCAAGTACAAAGGCCATGAGGCTGAATGAAACAAGATGATGTGTTGGAGGGATAGAAAAGCTTGAACAGAGTCAACAAGGGTGAAGAGGTAAGCAGAGGCTAGATTACATAAGGTCTTACAGGCAAAATTTAGGTCTGCATATTGAGTCTATAGATATTGCTATAGACTATTTTTCTGTGAAAAGAACTGATCCCAGAGGATGACACATCAATTTAGCATAGATACTAGTACCCAGATCTTCTGAATATAAAAGAATTCTCTGTGTTTCTGCCACACAGGGCAAGCTGTCTTTGGCACTGCCCAACTAACAAGCAGAGTTGGGCAGCCAAGCCCAGGTGTGCATCTGTCTGTAATACGCCCCCTCTGACCCCTGGGTGCTCACATATGCTTCCCTCGATGGAAACCACCAGCTGTCTACCTTCCCATGGGTCACCTCTACTAATCCTTTAAGACTCAGTTCAGGTGTCCCCTCCCCTGAGAGGGTTTCTGTGGCCACGGTGAAGCTTCACCAGTATAGGACAAGTGCAACTCACCACTCTTGTTCCAACAACCTTGGCATAGCTCTAACAACCACAAGAAGATCCGCCTTACCTTTTCACTCTTTCTCTTCCTAGACACCAACACCTTGAGAAGAGGCCTGCATCTCCTTTGCTTGGTTGTCACCAAAACATAGGACAGCTTAGAGTACACAGTAGGCACTCAACCAGTGCTCAGTTTCAGGGCCAGCTCTCTGAATACCAATGACCAAGTCACTCAAAGAGATTTCCTTTTTGCTGCATGGAAATTAGGGACCATGAGTGTTGTCTACCTCATGAGGATGTTCTGAATCCAAATTAAATAATGCATGTGGAGGAGCCAGTAATACAGTTAAAGGCATCACAGTGGAATCATTCAGAATGTTAATAAGAAGAGATCTAAAAGTGCAGGAATCAAAGGAACCCATTGGTGATTAAATTTACTTTTTGATTTGTGTGATCTTCAGTATCATACATTATAATGCAAATCTCATCACTTTCATAGCATGTAGTCAAGTAATGATGCTTCAAATTTAGGTTTCCTTTGTGTAAAATATATGCATGTGTATATGTGTGTGTGCATATCACAGAAAAAGAAAACAGCAAATAAGTAGACCATACTAACATATGACAAATTGACATATGAATGACATTTGACAAGTTGAGGAAATGTCATTTCTCTCAACATGATTTGACACCCTTTATTAGAAAGCACTTTGTCTTTGCTTTACTAAAAATGGTCCTCTGGCCCAACACCAGTGGCTTATGCCTGTACTCCTAGCTACTGAGGAGGCAGAGATCAGGAAGATCACAGTTCAGAGCCAGCCCCTGGCAAGTAATTCTCAAGACCCTATCTCCAAAACACCTAACACACAAGAAAAAGGGCTGGCAGAGTGGCACAAGTGGTAAAATACTTGCCTAGCAAGCATGAAGCCCTGAGTTCAGACTCTGGTACCACCAAAAAAGGTCATCTGGTCAGGGATGGTAGAGCACCAGGCCCTGGATTTAATCCCCAGCACCCAAACAAAAGAAGTTGGGTGACATTAATTTTATCAGAGCTCATTACAGTTATCAAGAATGTTATCTCTGTATGTGCAGAGCAGTAAGTAATGTGCATGACAAAAATAAAATTCAGATTATATTTTCCCCGAGGTCCCTAAAATTAAGATCAAACATTTAATATGTCAGAGTTAGAAATAGGTGATATTTTTCAAGACTTTATGGGCATGTTAAAATGTATATTTGCATTATATGTTTTATGATACATACATTTGAAATATTTGTAAATTGTAAAAAGAGGGAATCCACACAGATGTTTGCCTAGCTTTTTCTCCCGTACTACTTATTTAAAATATCAATCATTCTGTTACTGAAACAAACGTTTAATTTAATTTCATAATTAAATTTTTATACTTTTGCTTTGTAATATGATATCTGATTTCTAGAATAACTGACACATATTAATCACCATTTCACAGGTGACACTAGTGGATGGGCGACCATATTTGGCACAGTCCATGGAAATGTTACTAATGTGACATTAACACAGGAGTGCTGTAAGTGGTATTGATTCAAAGACAGTATCAGCTTTGCGAAAAACATGATTTGTGGTGCATGGATTTATATGAGAATAATAATCCCCCCTTATCTGTGGTCTTACTTTCAACAACTTCAGTTAGCAGAGGTCAACTGCAGCCCAAAAATATTAAATGAATATTTTGAGGGGTTGGGGATGTAGCTCAGTGGTAGAGCAGTTACCTAATTTGTGCAAGGTCCTGGGTTCAATCCCCAGCACCTCAAAATAATGATAAGAAAAACAATAATAATAATATTTTGAGAGATAGACCACATTCATATAACTTTCATTGTAATATGTCATTATAATTGTTCTTTCTTATAATCTTTCACTGGACTAATTTATAAATTACACTTTATTATAAGTATGTATGTATAGGCATCCACTAGGAGTCTTGGAATGTATCCCTTGTGGATAAGGAAGGATTACTCTAGTGTGATACATTCCTTAGAAGCTTAATTTCTGCTCAGTGTATTGCAATGGCTAGCCTGTGGGGACTGAAAAGATAAAAGACAATAACTATCTCCATGATGCCGATTTTATATTTTAGTCTATGATTGTAAGAATTGTGACTTCCAGTAAGGTTCTTGTTCCCTTTAATTCCTTTCTTCAATAAAGATCTTAAGCTCTCACTACTTTCCAGGCCCTGTGTTAGGCGCTGAGCATACAGTGGTGACTAAGATGTTGCCCATCCCACAGATTCCTCACGGTAGCAAAAGAGATGGATCCACACAGAAGCAGTGATGCTCCAGTGCACCACAAGGAGATGTGGAAACACACTAGAAGATTTGATGGCTCTGCCAGGCATGGGGAAAGACTCCCTGAGAAGATGGCATTAGATGCACTTAAAAGTCCTTAGTGGTGGGGAGGATGAGAGGACACATGATCAGCAAAACACTAGGGCAGAAGGCGCAGCACACACTTCAAGATGCCTTGCCTCATTACCACCTTGCTGAGATTCTGAGTGTGAGGTTGGTGGGCAAGAGCTCAGCCCAGAAGGCTAGAGCTAGTCCTTAAAGGACTGGGAGTGCACACTTTGGAATTTGGCCTCCACCCCGTAGATAGCATTGGGTTTATATATGTGTGGATAAATATTATTGTATAGATGAATGCATAGTTTCATACATATGTTAGTATATAAATAGATGTGTGTGTATCTATTAAGAATTACACTAACAGTATACAGACAGTCCTTTGTACCCATGGATTCTTCAACTGTGGATCCAATCAACTGCAAATCAAAAATATTCTGAAAAAAGTTGCATCTGTGCTGAACTTGTACAGCCTCTTTTTTTCCTAGTCATTAGTCTTTAAACTACTTATGCATTATATATTATAACAATAATATGTAATATGTAGCATAACAACTATTTACATCATATTAGGCATTGTAAGTAATTCAGAGATAATTTAAAAGATATAGGAGGATGTGTGTAAGCTCTATGCAAATACAGTGCCATTTTATAGAAGGAACTTGAGCATGTATGTGCAGATTTTGATATGCAAGGGCATTCTGGAACCAAGCACCCCCATACCTAGAGAAGACTGTATTGTACACTTTTTAACTCACTTGTTGCATATTTAATCACACATAAGTATATAATGAATAAAAATTAGAAAATAAAATGGGTATATTAAAAATAAACATAACTGAAAATTCTAATATTTTCTTCCTGAACACAGGAGGTTGTTACCTGGCACTCATCCCACTTTGTAGTTCACTATACTGGACAATCACCAAAGTCGTGGGCTTTTTTGTTTGGTTACTTTGAGTTTTTATTTCATTTTATTTTTAATAAAGAAGGAGAATACATGATCAGAAACGAATGTAAGCAAATTCCCCCTTCAGAAATGCAGCAAATGGATTGGAGCAGTGAGACCCAGCCAGGACTACTGCATCTGACAGTGCCTGGTGATACTTTGGTTGTCACAGCTGGAGGGAGTGCAGAGTGGGTTGCTGCTGGCTTCTAGTGGGTAGCAGCCAGGGATGTGGCTGAGCACAGTCCAGTGCACATGACAGCCCCTCAGCACAGAGCTATCAGGGCCAAAATGTTAGTCATGCTGATGGATCAGAAAGAATGAGGAAGGAGACGCTGATAACTTTAATTGCGATGCTCCAGATAAACACTAAGTCTCTGAGCCCACTGGAAAGACTAAGGTAGAGAGAGCTACAAGAGGTCTCTTTCAGAAAAATGCACAGAACTCAGGGCATGACTGGCTTGCAGGAGAGGGAGCATGAAGACTTATGCCCACATTCCTGGTTTTAAGCAACATAACCAGCTCAACCATATGAAATTTTTTCATTGGCAAGTAGGAATGTCTGACTACAGTTTTCAATCTAATAATATAACTGCAGTACTTTGAATGCTAATAAACACTGAAGTAAGCATATTAACATTATTTTTAGGAGTTGAGCTAAAATTAGCATACACCTATAGACAACATAAAATATTTCCCAAAATTCTGTAAAAGCATCTTTTACTTTAAGCAGGTACTCAATAAGAACTTTGCTAGCTTTACTGTTACAATTCAGCAAAATTCATTTTTAAAATAACATTTGGCAAAAATGATATAAAAGAAGCAAGGCAACTGGGAAGAATTTAAAATCACATTTAAATAAGAATAATAATAATAGGCCAGGTTTGGTGGCACACTCATGTGATCCCAGCACTCAGGAGTCAAAAACAGGAGGATCACGGGTTCAAGACCAGCTTGGGCTATATAGCCACATACTATCTCAAAAACAAATAATAATATAAGTTCAAAAATAACTCGCTTTCTTGACCATGTCAAATCAAATATCAATAGGAACAGTGAAGAAATCAAAGATTTCAGAAATAGTCTTCCCCCCCACCCCCCCACCATCCCTTATTTTCTTGCTCTGAACACACACACACACACACACACACACACACTGTGATTGTCCATGGACCAGCTTGGCCTTGTTTCTCCACAGATTTCTCACTCCTTTTTATGCCAATCTTTGCAGTAAATTCCTCTCAAGTGAATTCTGAAGACTTTTTCTTTTTTCTAAATGCTTCAGACTGATGGATCTTTGGTTTTCTCGGCTTCCTAACTTCTCTACAACTTTTACTTTCCACCTTCAACTTCACAGTAATGAAAAACAAAGAACCAAATTGAATAGATGTCAGACTGGATTGATTTCAATATGGCACACGGGCAGCTGTGGCAGAATCTGCATCTAATTCTTCTCACAGCTCATATGAAAGGGGGGAAATTGAATTAAATTTCAATCAACAAGCATTTAATTAGCATTTACTTTGTTCTATAGAATTGAATTAAATTGACTCAATCATTGCCATTAAGATTTACTCCATCATACTGTTTTTCATTGAAGAAAACTTAATCTTGCCTCACCATATGATTTTATGCTATTTGAGCATGTCTGTCATTTTTTTCTACCCACCTTCTAAGTCCCTCTGAAACGACTGCTAAAAGCTAGACCTGTGAACACCACATTAGTCACCACACAAGTAAAGACTTGACTAGGACAGAATTCTTATTTTCTTTTTATTATGGGCAAATAAGTACTTTTAACAGACATAAATTTTATACATTTGGTGAAAAGAGGAAAATGTGCTTATTATAAAGCCATAATTAAAGAAATGTTTTTTTTTTTCTAGTAAAATCTTCCTCTTTTTGCCCCTAGTTCTAAACCAGTATCCACAACGCTGTTCCTGCAAAGAAACTGAATTGGAATGTATAAATACAGACTTACAATCCGTGCCCACAATTTCCAGCAACGTGACATTACTGTGAGTAGAGTATCTAGATGAGTTTGTCCCAAAAGTCACATGAGAACCAAGGGCAAATAAGTACTTTTAAAGACATAAATTTTATACTTTGGTGAAAAGAGGAAATGTGCTTATATATAGCCATAATTAAGAAATGTTTTTTTTTTTCTAGTAAATCTTCCTTTTTGCCCTAGTTCTAAACCAGTATTCCAAACGCTGTTCCTGAAAGAAACTGAATTGGATGTATAAATACAGACTTACAATCCGTGCCCACAATTTCCAGCAACGTGACATTACTGTGAGTAGAGTATCTAGATGAGTTTGTCCCAAAAGTCACATGAGAACCAAAGGAACTATATAATTCTAGTGTAGAGTTATATTAGCAAAATAATAGAAACTCCACTTAAAACCAGTCATCAGAGAATTCCATATGCTTCCTCTCCAGGGGAAAAATTGTTTAAATACTATCTGCTAGAATATCCAGTTAATGTTCAGCTCACAAATGTTTGTGACCTGAAGCTTTTATTTTCAACTACTCTCTGGTTTTTATATTGTTAAAAATGTCCTTGTGCTGTTAAAATAAAAAGGAAACATTCATTCCATCGCATTTTTAACACCGATAATTCACCTAAGGCTGCAAAGATGTGAAAGATCTATGAATTTGCACCATGTCATGCAAATTTTTGTGCATTTTGCCTAAAACTTTGAAGAGCCTCAGGAATTTGTAGGCATGTCATCATTTGGGTTCTTTGTTTGTTTGGTTAACTTGTAGAGATTAAAAGAAAAAGGTAATTCACCATAGACTTCCCAGTCTCTTATGCTAATTGACTAATCACCTTGTCAAATATTTGCAAACTAGGTCTGAGATTTATGATGGGCCACATAGGCAATGGTAGTCCCATTAAGATTACAATGGAACTGGAAAATTCCTTTGCCTAGTAACATAGCCATCAGAGTGTCACAGCACAACTATTATTCATGAGTTTGTAGTGATGATGATGTAAACAAGCTTACTGTGCTGCCAGTCACATTCAAGTGTAGCAGTGCAATTACGCACTGTGCATAATATTTAATAATGATAATTAATGACTTCCTTTTGAAGTGTTTTCTACACTATATTTTATCAGCATTTTAATTTAAAAATGTTTACCATAAAGCAATATGCTCAGACATCTCATAGTGCAAGTATACTGTCTGATGTGTACAAGTAACACCATCACCTGTTCCGTCCTTACTTGGTTCATGAGTATATTTTTATTTTTTTTATGAACTTTTTATTTTCCTATAAAAATTTTTTAGTTACTATCATGTTAAAATGTGTGTTATGTACCATAAAACATCACCAAATATTCTCTTACCAAGGGGGAAGCTTTTAGGGACGAGTCTGGTTCGCCGTAAAAATGCATAATGAATCTGCCTTACATGTTATTTTAGGTCTCTTAAGAAAAACAAAATCCACAGTCTTCCAGATAAAATTTTCATCAAATACACAGAACTCAAAAAGATGTAAGTAGCTATTAATAATGTATTTATGGAAAATTCCTTGTGATGTTTTGTTTAAGATGTTTTTGATCTTAAAATAAAATGAAATACAACATTTATCATCTTTATCACTACATTTATGTTTCTAAATTTAATTAAGATTAGAAAATAAAGCATTTAAAGGTACATTATCCTTCCATTTCATAATTTAAAGTTGTTGAATTTATTTTATTTAGACTTTTTCAGAGTTAACTTGGAGTTGAGATAAAATACCTCAGTAAGAAAATACACAGTTCCATGTTCTTTCTTAAGATTATCTGGGAAATGACATTGCAGATTCAGAGGTGCTAGATGAGTGAAAGCATAAGCAAGAACAATCAGGTCATTTTAAACATAATTATAGGATATAGACTGACTCCCACAGAGATGAGAGAAAAAACACAGTAATAGAACACAGTGTTATTAGCATATCTCAGGAAAGAAAATGTCAATAAATAGCTCATCAACAGCAAGTAAGAAGTGGTATTCAAGGAGAAAGAAGGGCCAACATGCTTCCAGCATCATCCAAGAAAGATAACCAGGATCTGGGAAATATAATCCCGAGAGATGGTCTCTATTGGAGGGCAAAGGTGCATCATCAGTTTCTACAGTTTTCATGAACTGTCTCTTAATACTCTCCATATGCATTTGCTTTGATAGCTTACTCACCAAGCAACCTCGTGATGATTAATTTAACTTACCAATTTCTTCATACTGAAGTCATTTAAAAGTTGCATTCGATAAGGAATAAGAATAATCCTACCAGTTGAGATACCTTTTATTCATATTAATAAAGAGAAAATATGCACATTCACTTATCAGCCCTTTGTAAGGTAGACTAGTGTCTGCCAGTCCCTCTCAGCCTAGTTCCTCTGGGTTAGTAGAGAGTACCTGCCAACAGGACCAATCAACTAGGTAATAAACGCAGCAAGTAATATTGTACTTGCTGGAAGGCCATTGACCATCATCTTGTTTCATTCTTGAACATTCAGCAGACAAGAGAAAGTTTTTGGAAACATCATCAAGGATTCCACTTTCACTAAATTAAGTACAGGTTCCTTCAGACAAGAAAGTAAGTTCACCAGGTAGTTGTGTGTGAACACAGAAACTCAATCTTACCTGGGTTTGATTATCACCTCTGTAATCCCAGAAGCAGTCAGGACTTTCTGCTCCATGCTAGTGCAGGTGGTCATATTGTCATTGTCACACAGGAGTAGCTACACATTCCAGACTCCTCTGAAGAGGAATTCCCATGTCAGTGCTTTTAATCTTCCTGGAAATTTTTAAAAATCACAAAATGTTCATTCTGTGAATCAATATTGTTCTTGTACTGCCTGAATAATGCTGAAGGGAGAAGAAATAAAATAGCACTAGCAGAAAGAAAGGAAAATGATTCTTATATTTTGAGTAGCTGCTAAAATTCTGAGTTAGCTCTCTGTCAGTATAGCAAATACCTGAGATAATCAATTTATAAAGAGGAAAGACTTATTTGGGCTCCAAGATTTGGAGATTTCAGTCCATGATTGATTGGCTCATTGCTTTGGGCCTGTGGTGAGGCAGCATATCATGGTGGAAAAAGGTGACAAAGCAAAGCCTTTCACCTCATGACCAAGAACCAAAAGAGAATGAGTAGAGAAGGTAGGAGCTGGGGAGGGTTTCACTATTTCCTTCAAGAGCATATCCCAAATGACCTGAGGACCCACCACTTAAAGATTCTGCCACTTCCCAATAGGCTGAGATCCAAGCCTTTAACATGGATCACTGAGGGACATTTAAGATCCAAACTACAGCAAATTCTATCATCTAGTGTCATAGAAATTGTAAAGATTTCTAAGCAGATTTCTCTTATCAAACATGAGGTAACTGAAGTCTGCAATGCAAATGACTTATCTAAAATCTCTAATTAGTTAATAGGGAAGTCATAATCAGAGCCCAGGTCTTCTAATGCCTAAGGTAGTGCTTATTGTTTTCATAACTGAAAACCTAGAGATGGAGAGAAACTGTTCTAGCATTTAACAGATTTTCTACCAACACATAATCCTGCCCTTGCAGAATTGTCCTCTTTTTGTCCCTAATTTGAGGAAAGATGACTTTTGAGGAGGAAGAGGGGTAACTGGAGGATAAGCAAAAGAGGTAAAATTAGACTTCTCAGGCCAAGTCCCTCCCCGTCCACTGTCAATACTAACTAGTAGCCACTGAAGGGAAGAATATGGAAGCACTTTGGTAATCTCAGGTCCCAAATTTTCCTAGCGGAAAAAGGGTTGATATTAACCTCCCTTGCCAAGATTAGCTGACATATCAGCAGATACATGATCCTAAGAGAACACAGAATTTAATGTCAAGTGAGTCTCCAGCCTGGAATGCTCGAAGGATCCACAGTGACATTGAGGTCATTTGGACATTGGGAAAAATGAATTCTTAAATCAAGATCAAATTTTAATTGCCAGATGAATAAATGTTGCTTAACTGCTCTGAATGTTTTTACTATTGATCAATTTATTCATTTAACAGTCTTTTAAAATGTCAGGACTTTCTAAAGTTGAAGAGGAAAAAGCAGTTTCAGATGACCTTTCACAGAAATAAAACACAATTTATGGGACTATTATACTTTATCATTGTTACCATGGAAACCAGCAGCAGTTCTCCTCCTCATTGTAACACGAACCTTATATAAATTAGGAATTTCTTCTTAAACTGGGTTCTTATTAAATGCAATCATTGGCAACAAAATGTAATTCATGGTATCTGCCTGGCCCTGAAACACAAAATGTCACATTTTTAAAAATAGCCTATAAACATGCATGCCGTTAAAGCATTTATCTGCTTTAGTTTCAGGTATATAAATTCCTGATGTTTCTGCTTGAAAAGTCCTGACAGCTGAAACAGCAGGAATTCATGAACCAGTAAGTTATTCTTAGACAAGCCATTCAGTGTAAAGTGTATTAAATGGGCTCACATCTCAGCTTTGAATAAAACGAGGACATCACTTGCTAAACTGTCATGCTTCCAGATTTCTTCTCACATTCTCCAAGCTACTACTCTGCAAAGAAGAAAGTAGATACTTCGAATGGAGTTTAAGTTTAGTAGTCTACATCTGAGCCCTGTAAGTCTCTGAGATGGGGCAGCCAGCAGCTAAATATAAGCCTAGAGGATCTTTGTTATTTAAGAAGCTTGAGTCTTAAGTATGTCAGTGAAGGGAGGTAGTTTGTACACATCTGATGAATCATGCAGATCGTTGGTTTTACTGTCTTTCCTTTGACCTCTAAGACAAATGAACAAGATTGAATTCACAATTTGCAAATGCATCCTTCTCTTCAAGATGTAGGTAAAATGTGCATTGTACTTTTGAATTAATCATCTCACATAAATAGTATTAGTTAAGTAGTGAATTTTATATTTAAGAAAAACTTCAGTATGCCTGTATTGGAGTATTATATTCTTTTTCTATTCTCACTTGCTATTGTAACCTAATTCATCATATTAGCTTTCACTGTATCAGTCCATGGTTCTGAAAATGCTAAAACAAATATTGATCTGTGTGGGTTCATAGGAGAACCTCCAACCAGAAGCAGAATTTATGCTGTTCTGTCAAGTATCTCCTTACAGACATTGTTCAGGAGGAGTGAGTTGGGATGGCACAAGGTCACACTGTGTTTCAAGTTTACTTTGCAGGATTGAAATTGATGCTTTATGTTAGTGTGGAGTAAATGCATGCACTCTGCAGTACCAACCCTTTCCACACAGTGGTACTCGGGGGGAAATGACAGTTTTTGTATATGAGCTGGTTGACTAAGAGAATGGATTTGCTGATACCTAGGAGCTAATCTTGGCTTTACCTGACTAAAAGAGGTTAATATCTTGGCACTTTTGTAATACATTCATGACCCAAAGGCAAAAGGGAGGCTCTGATAGGGAATAATCATGATATAACAAGATTCAAAAGCACAGCTGCATTTCATACCAATAGTTTAGTAGTAGAATACCAAAACAGTTCAGACAGTTTTGTATTTTAGGAATTAATTCAAATAAAAGTAAGAGCCATCAAAACCACTTAAAAAGACTTTGTAGTGGTTTGTTGCTATTATTAGTATGGCTATTTCCTGATAGTTTCTCCTTTAAAAAATATTAATTCAAAACTACGAGTGTGGCTCAAGTTGTAGAGCACCTGCCTAAGCAAGCCCAAGACCCTGATTTCAAACCCCAGTACCTCCAAAACTTTAAAAAAATTGATTCAGTTATTGAAAAAGAAGACTGTTATATACAAAAAGGAAAATATGAATTCAGGACTAACCTCCTATTTTATAATGAGGACAGGAAGTGGCCACAATTTACTTAGATACTCCTGGCAGTGCTGTTATGGAATCAATACTGTATTGTTAAGTTGCTTCAGAGGTGAAGTAAACGATGAGCCTGTGGTTGAAATGCTATTCTAGTCCCAGCCCAACCAACTACTGTGGAACTTTGAACACCTCACTAACTCATTTGTACTTCCTACTTTGCATCTTGAAATCTCAAAGAATCAAACCTCCGCTCTCCTTTGTTCATGGGAATAGAACGAAGAGAAATAAGAAGTTAAAGGCATAACTCTTTCTTACAGAAAGTACAGCAGAGATGACGGGTGGTCTCCCATGACCAACAAGTCCTTCCATCAGAACGAGAGGGCTGCCAAAGCTCCAGCTTGCAGAAAGAAGGCTAGATCTACCCCCCTACACACACACCTCACCAGAGTTCAGTGGTACAAATCAGAGATGCACATACCTCATTGCACATACCTCATTCAACAATCTAACAATTCTGTGTTCACCTGACTCTTCTGTTTTATTCTTACCAGATATCTTCAGCATAATTGCATTAGACACATATCCAGGAAAGCATTCTTTGGATTATATAACCTACAAATATTGTGAGTAATTTCTTTATCATTATAATATGTGCATAATTTTAAGTAAAGACTACAAGCATAGAAAGAGGGTCCTATTGGGGAATCAAGGGCTGACTTGGTTGTGGAGAAATAGGAGGAATGATTTGTTACAAAATACTTAGATTAGTTGTAACACTGAAAGAATTAATTCAGATTCTGACTTTTGCCTAAAGACTGTCTTTAATATTGTCTTCTTCATCTTGGGTCACTTCCACAATATTTTAGCATTTTATTTGTTTTCTAACCACTGGTCTACTAAGGATATGACCAAAAAAAGCAAAAATGCCCCACATATTTAGTTATTTCTGTCTTATACTTTAATCTAATGAAACATCCCACAATATTATTTTTGGCCACTTTCCTTGCCCTGGCCTTGGTGTAGCCCACACTGGACTTGTGGTTATCAGTGCCTCTTGGTCACCTCTGGACACTTCCTCCTCTGCTTATCTGCCAAATGCTTTCAGAAGCAGACATCTATACTTCACAATCATCATCAGTCTAATTATATGTGAGTAGATGGAGTTTTGAGTTTTCCTAATTAATCACCCATGCTACTTGTAGATATCTCAGCCACAACTGTATTACAACTCTCAGGCCTGGAATATTCAAAGACTTACATCAGTTATCCTGGCTGTAAGTATCCTACTTTTTATTTCCTCCATAAATGATCATAGTCTTTTTTTATTTTGATTGATTGATTGGTTTTTGAGTCGAGGTCTTGCTGGTGCAGCCCAGGATAGCCTCAAAGTCACAATCCTCCTGCTTCAGACTCCCAAGTGTCAGGATTACAGGTGTGCATCACCCAGCTCAGCTTTTATAGTCAATGACACACAGTGCTCAGGTAGTTTCCAGTTGGCATGTATCTTGTTTGTTATACCTATGTTTCTGATTGACATATGATCTGAAGCACTTTACCAAGCAATTTGGACAATGGTGATGGCTCTGTGAAAAGGAAACTGCTCACACATTTCCAGGGAACTTCAGCAGTAGCCTTGCCTAACCAGCCTACCATTTACCCAGGTTTCACCAAGAACATGATTCCTCAGCTTCAGCACTATTGAGAGTGTGACTCCCATAATTTTTGTCTCCGGGGTAGCACGGAAAAAAATATGCCATGTGCATTTAGGATCTTTAGTACTATCTGTGGCCTCCACCCACTATATGCCAGTAGTCCACTCCCTCTTTGAGAGTTGTGACAACCAAAAAATGTCTCCAGCGCTGAGACTGCTCAGGAACCCAATCATCAGCTGAAGTTTCTAGGAGGTGGTAACCCATCCTTGTACTACCTCCAAGGCTGGTCTTCCTTAGCTTGGGGATTTAGAGTGACTTGTGGATGCCTAATGCTTAAAAAGGCACAGATTTTGAAATTATTTTTTCCCAAAGACCAGAGAGAAACTGGGCTACAGCGTTACAACTTCCCTCCCCAAGTCTGTGTGCAAGCCAACTGCCATTAGACCATGCAAGTTTGGGCTAATCACTTCTCTTTCAGTTACCTTGTTGGTATAGCACAGATAATAGTTGCTGTGCAGGCACATAAAAAAAGTGTCAGGAACATAGTAAGCACTCAGTTCATAGAAGCTGTTTATACCATGAACTGCTTCTTCAAATATAAGATGCTCTTGATGGTTTTCCCACCTTCTAATTGACTTTTTTAAGGCAAAGAGGTCAATGTATAAAAAAAAAAAAAAAGAAATGTCTCCAGGCATTGCCAAGTGTTCCTGGGGAGGAAAGACTGATCTCTGTTGGGAACCACTGACTGAGGAAGTCAACAAGTTAAGGACTTGCTCTGACTCCCAGTGCATTTGGAACAAAGTCTGAGAAGGTAGTAATTCCTGGTTCTTCCACATTCCAGCCAAGCCAGCAGCCTCAGCTCCAGAATCTCACATCAGCTGTCTGTGCCTTCCTGAGGACTGTAAGCACTGAGCAGTAGAGGCTTTTGTGTCACTTTGCTTATTGTAGGTTGGCATGGGCTAGAGCATGTGTGCCTGGCCCCATGCTTAAGGCTCCAAGCATCTCTTAATCTTTCTAGTCCCTTTCCTCTTATCTGTAAACTATAATCACATTGCCTCTTGAAGAGGGATGTTGTGAAGATTATGTCACTTAAAGTACTGCATGCATAGCTCCCAGCACATAGCAAGTGTTCTGTGTTATCTCCCTCCTTCCAAACTTCTGAGAGGAAAGGGAAATAGTACTGGACTTCAGAGGCAATGAGAGATAGTGATGCATATCTCCCCCTTCCTCTAATTTCTTCTACAAAAATACTATATATAAAGGGCAAAATAGTTTCTGCAGGGTATCGAGGGAGGGGGAGAAAGGGGGCGGAGTGGGTGGTAAGGGAGGGGGTGGGGGCAGGGGGGAGAAATGACCCAAGCATTGTATGCACATATGAATAATAAAAACATTTTAAAAATACCATATGTAGTTTAAAACCATGGCTTAAGTATACAGATATGTTTACTTTTACCCACAAAACTCCTAATATGGATGGGTTCACCTCATTCATCCATTTGTATGTACCTTGTTGAATGCATCATAGAAGCCCTATGAGACCAAAGAAACATTAGTGATTTGTTAAGAATTATATTTCTATTCACTTTTCATTCAGTAAACCAAGTCAACACATATATGGAGTCTATATTCCTCCAATAAATGCAGCTTATGAGGTGGATGCAGGCAGAGAAAGCAAACAATCAGGATACAACCTGATAAGTGCCAGGAGGGGAGTTGCAGCAATTTAGCCCAAAGCAATGCTCCAATCCATTCAGTGAAGGAGATCTCAGGGAAAAGATGCCTGCGCCAAATGTGGAAGGACACAAAGGAGCAAGCAGGCTAGGTGTTAGAGGAAGTAGAATTGCACGGGCCTTTTATTTTTTTTCCTGTTTTTATTTCATAAATGTCTCTGACATTGGAAATATTTCTGATATGTTTTGTCAGAATTCTGGATGACAATCCAATAACCAGAGTTTCACAGCGATTGTTTACTGGATTAAATTCCTTATTTTTCCTGTAAGTACTCATCTACCTTTCAATACATCTGTCTACAAATTACAGTGGTATCTAACACTAGTTTACAGAAAAAGCTTTAGAAAAATATCAAACCCACTAAAAATTTTTATTAGTTACAACCTTTCTTGTATTTGCAGTCACAGTTACTATTGCTACTTCCTGGCCATGGCTAAATAGAACAGCTGGCCAGATTATAATGTATATTTTAAGCCAAGGAATTGATTTTTTTGTCCTCTGCAATTTCCTGAAGTTCCAAGGAATGTTTTTATTTGCAGTGGCTGACAAAAAATTCACTTTTATACCCTGATAACCCAACTACACTTAAATCTGTTAGATTTAAGCTATGACTCCATTTTTTTTTTCTATTTTTAACAGAGGAAAATGTGCTTTTTGCCCAGCAACAGTCACTGAAAATCCCAAATTCTTTGTCCTACCAGTGAGCTGTTTTCATAATGACATTTTCACTGTTTGTTAACATACTGGAATGATTTATTGGCGGGGCTCATTCTGCTCCGTTACAGTTGATCAGTAACAGCACTTCCTTCCACTTGTTTGTCATAAATTAATCATACAACTTAACACGCTCACAAGTTGTTTTCTTCCCCCAAATTCCTCTTACTCTCACTTTGTAGATTTAATGCAGTTTCCAGTATAGCCCTTCCATGTTATAAATGATTCATATTTACCATACGAAGAAAGTTTGGATGCCTGGCACTGGAAATGATGGCAAACTTGTGTACAAGAAGAACTATCATGAACTTCAGAATTATTACTTGACATATACTGTCGTTTCATTGCATAAAATTAAACTGCACAATGTTTGTTCCTAAGATATAAATGCTACTTGTGCATTCATAGTTTCCTTGACAATACCTGTTCCCTAGACCTTCTCATACACATATGTAACAACCATTTTGAAAGGGTAGCTATGTATATATACTTTATCCCAATATAGTAATTTTAGCATGAAAGTTTCCAAATTATGGAATAAAAAATACTGTTCTTAAAGTGGCATATTATTTTGTTTCTAATTAATATTTTCTTTATTTGAAGATCTATGGTTAATAACTACTTAGAGACCCTTCCTGAACAGATGTGTGCTCAAATGCCTGAACTCAACTGGATGTGAGTATTCATTTAGGGTTTATTTGTCCAGATTAAGGAAACAGCCATAAATTTAATTCAAGATTACCTTAAAAATAGATATATGATTTCTTTCCAAAACCAAAATCTAATTTTGTTACTTTCTGGTTTAGTAATGTTTTCAGGGAAGTGGGCGTGGTGGTTCATACATGTAATCCTGGCACTTGAAGCAGCAGGACCTCGAGTTCAAGGCCTGAGCCATATAGCAAGACCCTGTCTCAAAAATAAATGTACAAAAATCCTTTGAGGGTTCCCCAAGGAGTGACAGTCACGTTCAGCATCCCCCCTGAGCATCCAGGACCTCTGATTTTCAATCTCTTACCTCATCTCATGTTTTGTCCTGCCCTTCCTCCACATGCCCTTTCCTCCCAAATGTCCCAAACTACTCTCCTACAGTCAATTACTTCAGCACATACTGTTCCTTGAACTCCAAACTTTTTGCTCCTTAGTCTTTTGGCTAACCCCATCATTTCCTGCCAAAGTCAACCAAAATACCATCTCCAGTAAGTCATTCCTGACCCACCAACCAGTTTCAGTGGCTGCCTTTGTTCTCCACACACCTCATACAAAACACTACCCTGCTGTCATTTTCTACACCTCACACTTATCCCAGGGCACTATAATCATGTAATCATTAATTTACTTGCTTGTCTCCTGCCCTACTCTTCCGTAACTTCTCTGAGGGCAGAAACCTATCATATGATTTCAATACCCCAGCATTTGGATAAAAATCAGCACGTAACAGCTGCTCGGTAAGCCTTTGTTAAACAGATGTACTAAGCTATTTCCACTCCTTGTTAGCATTTAATCGATACCTATTTAAAACATTCATTTAAGTGGCTCCACCACCACCACCCACTATTTCTAGCTACTAACACCTTCATGGTCTTCTGCAACAAACATGTGGTCACAGTCAACAAAAATATGAATTATACCATCCCCAAAACTGTTCTCACAGTCAAATCAGGTAGGGGTGGAGAGACTCAGCACCCATAAAATGATAAAAATTTCACTGTCTCAGCTTTGATATTCCTCTCTGAAATAGCCTCAAAAATTCTTGTTACGCTCTTAGGTGGTGGTGCGTTTACTTTTATTTTCATGGATATATTTATATGTCTATTATCAAAGGGCTTTTAAAGCAATAGAGGGTGCATATTAATGTGCCACTACTAAAAATGAAAATAATGACTGACAAATTATGAGATTAAAAGTCATTAAGAATAACCGAAAAGCTGTGCTTGGTGGTGCACCTATAATCCCAGTATTTGGGAGGCTGAAGCAGGAGGATCATGAGTTCTAGACCAGCCTGCACTGCACAGACAGCCTGCCTACATAAGTGAGATACCTCTTGTCTCAAAAAAAAAATTAAAAAATAATAAGTAAAAACTACTTAGAAACTACACAAGTACACATGTAGGAAAGATTAGGAAAATATCAGGGCCCAAATATGCTCTCCCTCTCCCAAGTGGATATCAATGACAGCAAGCTGGAGACCAGGAACCAGCAACAGAGCCCTGGTCTCCTGGGATGGTCATTCATCTGTAAGCACCCTCAAACACAAGGAAAAACATAGAAGGTCAAAGAAAGTATAGAGTTAGCAAGATAGCCTGATCACAAATCAGGAAGATTCCGTCTACCTAGAGGACAGAAAAGTAAGTAGTCAGACTGAATCTCTCTAACCTAAATGCAGGGGGGAAAACCTACCCTTACTTACCTCTTTCCTCACTTGCCATACTCAGGATAATTGTTCTCATAACTCTAAAGTGTTAAACCTTGAGAACATGCAAAATATTTCCCCATTCATTTCATAATATTTAGACTTCTAAGAGGGTGCAGTGTTTATTACATTTAATCACAACATTTTGAGTGAAAAAAACTTCGTGAGTTCCTCTAAGAATCTCTAAGATGGTTTTAAAATAGGATTTAAAAGACAACATGGAAGATTTGTGATTTTAGTGTAGCCATGGACTTTCAGAAGCAGAAAAATAGTTATTGTCATATTTTGTGAAGATTGTGGAAAACTGACTATAAAATGAAGTTAGGAAGTCAGGTGTGGTGGTACATGCCTGTAATCCTAGCACTTGGGAGGCTGTGGTAGGAGTTCAGCCTGGGCTATATAGTAAGACCCTGTCTCAAAAAGAAAGAGACAGAGAAGAGACAGAGAGAGATCAGGAGAGCTGGTGGAAAAATCAACTTTTTCCCTTTCCCCTTGTACTGTCAGGAATGGCAGCGCTCAGAGGGCCTTTCCCCAGTATATGGGATGCCTCTGTCCTAAGCAATCAGCTAGCAGATGGAAATCTGCCTGTAAGTGCTTTTAGCACTGTACACGCCCAGTGGACCATAGTTTAAAATAGTTTATCAATACCTCAATTAATAACATGGAAACACTTACTCCTCAGAGTAAAGCTGCCCTTTCCTCAATTTTATTAAGTTTGAACATTAATTGGAACAGGAAAGGAAACAATATTAATTATATGAACCCTGCAATATTTAGGAAGAAAAGATAGTAAAAGTGGGATGAAGTAAAAATACACTTCAAACTGCTATATCAACAAAGTGTATCTCTAAGCATATGATGTGTACAAAAATATTAAAAGTGTTTTCCCTCCATGGCTTTCAGGGATCTGGAAGGCAATGGCATCAAGTATCTTAGGAACTCCACCTTTCTGTCATGCGACTCGCTCACTGTGCTGTAAGTACACCACGAGCTTTGGTAAACACGGAGGAAACCTATGGACTGGGAAATTAAAGAAAACATTGACAATGGATTTTAAAGTAGGGTTTTGTCTCCAGCTTTGGTGCCGAAGTGCACGCACTGATTGGTTCTGAGGGTGACTCTGCAGCTGGCTCCTGGTTTCCGAGGGCAAGTGTTGTCCTTGCTGGGCTCTGTCTCAGCTGAGCTTGTGCCTGAGCTCCAGTTTCTTAACCCCACAGTTGCCATAGAAATGAGATCCTGTCTGTGAAAGTGGTCGGCTACACCATGGTTGGCTGTTACTGCCAGGGAGTCTTACCACTTTATGTCTCTCTCCCCCAACAAATACGTTATTCTAAAGGAAGAACATCTCCTGTATTCTGATTGGCTAAAGGCTCCCATTGGTGATTCTGATTGGTGATTGTGCTTTGTCTGAGGGTGGGAAGGCAGATGGATTGGTCCATTGCACAATTGTATGGTCAGCTAAAACACAAAAATACTTTGTGTTTGTTGTAATATAGTTTTTCATGGATAGTAAGTGCTTGGTAATGTTTGTTGATCGGATGGGTGATTGTAAAAAAGAATGGAAAAGAAAAATGAGAAAAGAGTCACTTTCTAAAGTAATCAGAATCCAAACAAAGCGTAGCTTCATAGACCACACTCAAGCTCCTGGGACGGCTCGCTTCCTGAGAGACGTGAGCAGGTCCTCAGTGAGAAACTCCTGCCTCAGTGTCCACACCAGGAAAGCCTCCCTTTGAGACTCAAAGGGAGCTTAGTAAACCCATCCCCTCCCCCAGCAGAGGCATCTCCCAGCAAGAACGGATAATGACAGCCGCAAACCCCTGGTGCTGACTCTCGCCATGTCTTACAGGTTTCTGCCTAGAAATCAAATTGATTTTGTTCCAGAGAAGACATTTGCCTCATTAAAAAATTTAGGAGAACTGTAAGTAGCATCGTCTACTAGGAAGAATATGATTGCGTCTTCCAAGATTATAAATTTAAGTGACTAGTGAGACTGCTTTTCCACTAGTAGCAATCAACAGTCTGTAGACTACTGATAGTGAAAGTCAATTAAGAAAACCAACATTATCCTAAAGTCAGAGCACATTAAAACCATTCACTTGGGTTTAATGTGGAGTTAGCCTACCCTCGTTTCCCTACCTATTTTCTTTGGTCGATTTCATATAAATGTATGTTTGGGTATAAATGAGTTTTCCATAGCTGCTTAAACATAGGGATCATTTATCTGTAACGGCTGGGGGATAGTTAATTCTCAATCAGTGTTTGCTGAATGAATAATGACTGACTGGAATGACATTAGCTAATTGCAACTGAACAGAGGAATGAAATTTTGTGTTATCCCTTAAGAAATTATGACTTCTGCAGCAGGTAAAGCACATACATGTGTCTAGAAGGAAGAGTAGGCTCATAGAAAAATATTCAGGGAACTCATGTTACTTTTTCTGTTCAAATGCATCCATTGTAGATTTAAGCTTCTAAAAATAGCATTCATTTTCCCATTAATTAATTGATTCCATATAACTGTGTATCACTGGAAGTTAAAATCAAGTCTATTACATTGCAAATAATGGCGAGTAGGACGAAGAGCTCATCCTCCTGATTGAGGCCTTAAAATGGAAATTAATGTTTGAAACAGCCTTACCTCATTCTTTACAGCTTGTTCTATAATCCAGGAGAACTGGGACAAATAATAACAGTAATTTTTAAAATAATTCATTGATAATTCAATCTAAATAAAAGCATCACAAATCAAGTCCACAAATATTTATTAAGTTCCTGGTGCGTGCAAGGGTCTGCATTGGAACTAAAAATATGTGCATTTTGAGGGAGAAATACAAAGGTAGCTCATTGAGAAGCGAACTCCTCCAAGGCCCAGTCCTAGTCAGGTTCTGGAGAAGGAATATGGACTTGGGTTACAGGGTGGGGAGGGGAAGCAACCCAGGACAAAAAAGGGCTTATTTTATATATGAACTTAAGGAAGAAACACATTTTTAAATTGTTCCTAATCTTCCTCTCATCTACACATGGGTAGACCCTCCTCTAAAAAAGGAGGGCTCACCAAAAAGACAAACTTGCTATTTTAAGACCACCAGTAATCTATGCCAATCCACAATCCCCTTAGTGTCAGAGAGCTACAAGAAATTCAGAAGTTGACAGACTTAACACGAACTAGAGATTTCTACACCATGAGTTTACAAGTGTTGGATAATTTTACTGTGACATCACAATTTCAAACTCATCCTAGGGAGGAATTAGCATGAGGCACCTGATGTCCACACACACCTGCGGCTTTCTTTCTGAGCCATGATCAGGTGTGCTCCTCCCATCTGGTTCACTGATCAGAATTCCCAGCTAGCAGGGCCTGATGCTTGGATGTCATAACAGCATCTTAAAAGCAATGTGTTTAAAACTCAACTAACAATGCAGCTTACCCTGTTGCCAGCTTTTTCACCTGGGTTTGTCATCCCAGTGGAATCAGCCTCCTTCCTGAAAGCCAAGCCTCAGGACAGCTCCCTCACCCTCTCTCCTATTTTATGCCCCAAGTTCTGTCACTCCCTGATGCTGCTGCTTAGTGAAGTCCTTGGCCTGCTTCTCAAATGTCCATGTGCACAAGAATCACAGAGGATATTGATTTAAATGCATGCTACTAGGCTGCTTCCTCAAGATTCTGATATGGGAGTCCTAGGGCCGGAGGAACCTGGAATTCAGTCTAGAATTCTCAGTGATTCTAATGCTCGACTTTATTCTGGGAAATTCTTCCTTAGAGTGTATTCATGGTCCTCCTGTCTTGTCTCCATGGACTTTTCCAGGCTCCCTTCCTCTACATCTCCCCATATTTTTTGTCCTCTACCCATCTTCTACCACTTCCTGACTCCTGAAGATAGTATTCAATCCTAAGCATCCGTTTCATTGATTATTTTACTCTCACCTGAAAAGCTAATCTTCTTTTATCCCACCTAAAATCATCAAGCTTTGCTCAAACATTTCCTAATTCTCAGGCTAAGATTACTTTTGTCTTTTGTCTGTTCTTCTGAGGTAGCACTAGTTTCAGTCTTTACTTATTTTATAATCTTACTATATTAATTCATTTTCTATTGCTATAACAAAATGCCTGAGGCTGGGAACTTAATAAAGAAAAGAGATTTGTTTGGCTCACAAATTTGGAGGCTGAAAATCCAATATCAGACATCCACATCAGTTTGGCCTCTGATGAGTTCCTTATGGTGGATGGCATTATATCATGTTCAAAGGGGTCACATGGCAAGACAGGAAGCCAAAGAGGGTCTTGGAGTCAATCTTGGTTTTTTTTGTTAACAACTCACTGTTGTGACCACCAACTGGAGACCCAGAAGAACTACCTTAATATCTTCTGAGGGCAGCACTCCCAATGACCTAACTACTTCCCACTGAGCCCTTCCTCTTAAAGGGTCTACCATCTCAACACTATGGACCATGTCTCTGACTCATGAACCACTGAGGGACAAATCATGCCCAAATCATAACACTAATTGCTACTCTAAATAAAAGCTTCATTAGGGCAAGAGCTAGGTCTAAGCTCCCCCACCCAGTATATATCATCAGCTCCAAAGTATCCAGAATAATTAAGGTGTTTTGGGGGGTCCATTCTTAATTAGGCAATTGTACATTGGTTTTATCTTTATCACCTTTTCTGGCTCAGAAAGATGCAGATTGATTTCTTCTGATCCCAAAAGACCTCTTTCCATATTCTGTTGGGTCACTTCCTATGGCTTTAGATTGTACAATTCCATCATATTTAATTATAAACATTCAATTTCTTATACAAAAATAGTCCTAAGTAAAAGTATAGTTAAAATGTGTAAATTTTTCCATTCAAGACTGTCTGGGAAGATACTGATTGACGAATACTAACCTTAGCTGGAATGCAAAATTAGTAGAAGACGCAAAACTTGACCTGAAAAAGATTAATTAGATGAACAAGAGATCACCTAGATGAGCAAGTAGGAATCAAAGAAGCATGACTGATAGAAATGTAGGAAATTCATCAAAGATGTTAAAGCTAGGGTGTGTTGGAGAGGGAGTGAGAGGAAATTCCAAACAGGAACTGGATGAACAAAATGTCACGTGTCTGTAAGTGATGGAAAATATACCCATTTGGCTGACTCACCTGGCCTTGTTGTGTAACAAGTTCTCAGGTTGGTTAAATTGGATTCATATTTTCTGTTACATCAAATGAGATGATGATAATAACTATGAGGAGTAATACATATGTCACATATTTCCAATATAATTGCTTTGTGTTTTTACTGTCATCAACAGGGATCTGTCTAGTAATATGATAATGGAGCTACCAGCCGAGCTTTTTGAAGATCTGAAGCTTCTACAGAAACTGTAAGTTCTTCATCATCAGATTCAAATGGCATGATGGTAGGCTTCAGAATAATAACATCTACATTTCTTTCCCCCTTCTTCTAATGGCAAAAAAAAAGGAACCTGTCATCCAATCCTCTTTTGTATCTTCACAAGAACCAGTTTAGAAGTCTTAAACAACTTCAGTCTCTGTAAGTAAAATATTACAATTGTGGATCTATTTTACTAAGAGACATATTTATTTCTAAATGCATATTTCACACCGAGGATATTATTGTGGATAGTATTGTTACCATGAATTATGCACTGATTGACCACAAAGCCACTTTTATTACCATTCAATTGCATAAAAGACACCTCTGTGTTTGAAACTACATCTACCTCCTTCCTGAAAACTAAGTTCATATGAACAAATATTATCCTACAATTTCCACAACTAATTAAATTTGCACTAATTTTATTTCTAAAAGTTTGACTAAAGCAAGTTATGTAAGACTTGCCTTCTTCGTTTTCCTTTCCCTTTTCCTACAAGAAACTACTTGATACTAGTCTGTTTTTACTTTTTTAGTAAGTAAAAAAAACCCATAGATATGGACATTCAAACAATTAATATTGCTTAGTATCTTAAATTTTCAACTATCTTCGGTTTTAATGGTGTCATGAAGTCTGTCAGTTATTCTTTGAGTCATAATTCCTTTCCTCTGGGTGACCATTTATTGGCAAAAGTTATTTTGTTTTAACCAGAGTAAAATTATATTACCTGACTTCAGACTAAAGCATTTCTTCATTTAATTCCAAAGATTAATCCTTGACATCACTTTTTATTCTTGTTAAATGGTTTTCTATTGGAAATTACCATAAGATTAAGTTCTCTTTCAACTTAAGATATTAGTAAGCATCTGCTGATGAAAAAGACTTGGTCTAGTCAGGTGCTATTTGCTCATACCTACTAGGGAGCTACTTGGGAGGCTGTGAACAGGAGGATTGCAATTTGAGGCCAACCTGGGCAAATAGTTCAGTTCCAAAATAACCACAGCAAAATGGACTTGAGGTGTGATTCAACCAGAATGCCTGCTTTGCAAACATGAAACCCTGAGTTAAAACCCAAGTCCCACCAAAAAAAAAAAAAAAAAAAAAAGACTTGGTCCCTGCTCTCATGAACCTAAAACATGAAAAATCAAAATATATATATAACCCATGTTTTAAACATAAGAATAGACCTCAGGATATGGACAATATGATTCTTTTTCTTTTCTTACCACAATGCATTTCTGAAAGCCAAAGTATCAAGCCACCAAATAATGCCTTTCTGAAAGTTAAAATAGCAACTACTGACTCCATGTTTTTCTTCCTTCATTCTTTCATTTCTTTATGTCTCATTTCTTTTTCTTCTAAGACTCACTTGCACACTTATTTCACATTTATTGTTCAATTGAGGCATTGCACTGCCTTACGCACTTAGGATTAGTGGCCTCTTTCTAACTTAGGATATTAGAAAGTATTAATCAAATAATCACACAATTCACAAAAGCTAAAACTGTGATAAATCAAGGGAGAAAGCTAGAGAGTAAAAGAAAGGAGAGGAACCGCCAAAAAGCACCCATGACTGGGGGGTGTGGATTAGCAGAAGAGTGCCTGCTTAGCATGTGTAAAGCCTTGGGTTCAATCCCCAGCACTGCAAAATAAAGAAATGAATAAACAAAAACTTACAAAATAAAAATGGAAAGAACTCAGTTTCTTGCTAGAGGGTCCATGTGGTGAGTCGGTAGTATAAGAGCTCCCTCACGTTTCACTTCTGGCTTTCAGAGAGCAAGGGGATTCCTCCATGAAGGACATAGAACAAAGGAAAACTCAGCACCATGTTGAGAAATCCTTATTCGGATTAGCCAAAAAGAAATGGAGTAAAGATTGGGCATCTTTCAGATTAAACAGGAAAGCAAAATGTTTCCATTATCATAGATTGTTCTCCTTTCATCTGTAGCTCTGTATCCCACCATCCTGAAAAGTCTTGAAAATGTCTGCATTTGTAGATGCTTCTGGACAGATTCAGAGTGTAGGGTGATCATTGGAGCCCTTCGAGGAAATTTTATGGGGTCTGGAGAGATTCCAAGTAATTGTGCTTCTCACTTTTGTCTTAGAAAATGATTGTCCTGAACTGGAGCTTCTCCTGCTGCTTCCATGGTTTCTACCCTAAAGATACATAGGCCAGGAAGAAACCCAGATTCCCACCAAACTCACTTCAGTGAGGCTCTCAGGTTGGAAGTATCAGCTCCTAAATGCAACCCTTTAACTTCCACGACACTATTATATTAAACTGCAGAATAATTCCATATTCACACAAGACACCACTGCTGTTTGTTTGTTCGTTTTATTTTGCAGTGCTGAGCATTGAACCTAGAGCCTTACACATGCTAGGCAAATGCTCGACCCTTACCCCCTTGCCATTTTTAAATCAAAGAAATGAATGAAAGAGTTGTATTAAAATGTAATTCTGCATCTGAAGTGACAAAACAGCTCCAACTTACAGGAGACTTAAATAGAAATGGTAATTTTTGAGAGAGTGCACTGTAAAATTTTCATTCTAATTTGAATTTGTAATGTAAAATTTTGAAGCATGATATCTAGGACATGACAAAGAATGCAATTATTAAAAGCTTAACTCTAAAAATATAAAACCTATTGTGCATATTTTCCAGAGACCTGGAAAGGATAGAAATTCCAAATATAAACACAGGAATGTTTCAATCCCTGAAGAATCTTTCTCACATGTATGTATGTATGCAAGAATGGAAAAGAAATATGGTGAAATGTTTCAGATATTCTCATGTCAACTGTCTAATGTATCACTGCAATGTGTTTTATGCAACAAAAGTCTTTTTTATTGAGAACTTTTTAATTTTGTCACCTTTGGTCCCTGTTCAAATAGAGTTCAATATTATGATGTGCCGACATGAATGACCCTTCTCTCTGGAAACACGCTGTTTATCCAATTGAGGCCCAATAAGAGATCAGGGTACCAGAATGCCACATATTACACAAGATGAAGTCACTGGCTAAATGGTACTCAGGAGACCTGGAAACATTAATTCACCTCACATGAATGAGCAGTCGGCTGCTCTAAGATTTGAGCCCTTAGGAAGAAAGGTGCTATATAGATTCCAGGTGTTGTTACTGTTACTAAGTGCACTACAAAATGGAGGTAATTCATCTTTATAGTAGTTTTTGTTAAGTCACTTTAGTATATTTGCCTAAAGTGCACTGTGTAAGTTGTGTTAATATATGTGTTTATAACATGATAATTTCTTTATCAACTGTATAACCTATATGTTCATTATTTCAAAAAATTAACCCTTGTTATCCACAAAAGTAGGGAGGACTCGATGTAAGATCTCATGTTGGGCGCAGCCAGTGGATGAAAGTGTTGATGTGAAGGTGCTTTTTGGGAGAACATTTTGCTTATGTCTGTGCAGTAGGCATAATGGCTAAAAGACAGGTGTTTGATGCAAATCCACACAGTTTTGTTCATTTTTCTTTCTGTGGCACCATTAGATAAATATTCAATGAGGCTATCATTTCCTTGTTGCATGCAAAAGGTGAGTTCTTAAAATAGAGTTCAACCTTTCTAGAATTTGATGAAAAGTTGCTGTTTTAAATATAGATCTGAAGTCAAGGTCAGAAAGGAGCCAACAAGTAATAGAAAACTTGTGAGTTTAGCCAGCTCCCCTCTAAGGGACAGACTTCCTTCTCCTTCTTTGTCCTTTATTTACTGAAACACTTTCGCCTCGACACCCATCCCTTCCACCTGTCAACTGGTCATAGTGGAAGAACCAAGGTGGCTCTATCTGAAGACAGTGGACATCATGGAATCCTAAAAGAACCAAGAGGCCAAGTTAAGTGTGTTCCAGGGACTCCTGAGAAGGAAAAACTAACAATAGAATTACAATGTCAAGTTCCTTTAGTCATATGCTAAGTGTTGAGAACAGACTGTAAGATGCTCTAGGCCAGTGACTATCTCATATGACTTTTCCTGACACACCCAGCACTCAGTTGTCTCTCATCCATTTGCTGATCTAAGAAATATTTGTTGAGGCCATGTGCCAGGCATGATCTAGATGCTGAGAACCCAATGATGAATAAGAGAAAGAATATTTGTCCCATGGAGTTTCCATGTAGTTTTGGAACCAGAGTAAATAAGCCAATAAATAAGTAGCTATTAAATGCCATGAAGGGCCAAAACAAGATAAAAGGATAGCAGGACGGTTTGGATGGTTAAGTGGAAGTCAGGGTGATGTGACATTTGACAGGCCTGAACAGGATGGAGCAGCCCTAGCAATATCTTGGGTTAGAACCTTCCAGGCAGAGGGAAAAACAAAAGCAGGATTCTCAGAAGGATATGAGCCTGCTTGTTTGGAGATTAGAAGAAAGTTATTGTACCTGGGTAGAAGGAGGTCCAGGTGGCTTGGGGCGGCCAGGGTTCCAATCAAGGAAGGTCTTGGCATTGTGGCAAAATAAAGCTTTGTTTAACTTGTTGGAATAAATTAGGGATATTGATTAAGCTGAGAGAAAAGAACTATAAGAAGTAGTAAAACAAACAAACAAATAAACAAAAAAGAATGAGTTTTATGGAAGAAAATTCCTACACACACAGGTTTAGGGGATGTCCATAAGCCAAATGACCTCCCTAATTCTAACTCTCCAGGATTCCCCATACATAAATACACTGGCCACAAACAAACCTGTACTTCCTCTAGAAATTGTTTAAGTCCTTCCAGACCCTAGTAAGAAATCTATGTTTAAGACAACTGCTCTTCTTCCTTCCAGCTCCAGTAAGACAATTTTCTTTGTCTTAGAGATCCTCCCTTCCTGCTAGTGTCAGGGAAAAGGCAACTAAGTCAAGTAGACCTCAGTGTTTACAACTAAGGACAGGTCAGGAATGCCTCTAGCAAACTACAGAAGGTTCCTTACATCTCCCCGCCCCCAGGGCAAGCCCCTGGATGTTGGCTAGAGATCAATTTAGTGACAACAATCTACTTTTTATAATACTCAATGAGAATAATCCAATGCGAACAGGGGGAAAAAGTAGAGCCTCTGAGACTTCAAATCTACATAGCCTAACCTGACACCCTTTAGCCAAGCCAGACACCCTTTAGCCACGCCACTTCTGAATTTCTGTGTCCCATTAGGCCACTCATCTTTTGAAGAATACTGCCTAGAGTAACATACTACTTGCTGAGGTACTCTACCCGTGATGCACCACTAAACAAAACAAACCTAGCAAAGTTGCATACTTAACATAGCCCTAGTAGGACTGCAACTGTGATTTCTGTATCATTGCTGTAAAGTGACTCTTTTTTTCCCTTTGACTTTAGTTATTTCAAAAACTTTCGATACTGCTCCTATGCTCCCCATGTCCGAATATGTATGCCCTTGACTGACGGCATTTCTTCATTTGAGGACCTCTTGGCTAACAATATCCTCAGAATATTTGTCTGGGTTATAGCTTTCATTACCTGCTTTGGAAATCTTTTTGTCATTGGCATGAGATCTTTCATTAAAGCTGAAAATACAACTCACGCTATGTCCATCAAAATCCTTTGTTGTAAGTATGTTTCCTATATAAGTAGGATATCTTCTGTGAGCTGTAAGCTAGATATATATAATGTGTGGAGATCTATATATATATATATATATATGAAATATAACCTTCAACAAATGGCATTTCATATAAATTACATATGGTGGGCAGGTTTATTTTCTAGATATAAAGATGAGGCTCTTTGTAGCTGTGTTTTAGACTACTGGGCATTATGTCCTAGAAATGGGGTGACGGAATGGTAAGTGATGGATTATGAAGTTTTGTGGGTTATAAACTAAACTTGATTAACTTCAATTACAGTAATATCCATGCTTCTCAAACTCAGGAAATGACTCCCTCTATTAACTACTCCAAATAATACATATTTACTGTTTAAATACTATCTCTTCCCACCACCACCCTCAAAAAAAGTTCCCACTCATCCCTTTTTAACTTTAAGACTAAGACATAGGGTGCTGCTTTAGAAAAAGCACAGATTTTTAAATCCATTGGCATTTTGGTGTTCTAGCAGTAAATACATTAGTTCATTAAATACAGGAGGAAGGAACTAGATCTAATCAGAAAGCCCAAACGAGATACTGAGAACCACCAACATGCACTGCATGGATTCGTCCACAGGTGCCGACTGCCTGATGGGCGTTTACTTGTTCTCCATTGGCTTTTTCGACCTCAAATACCGAGGGCAGTATCAGAAGTACGCGCTGCTGTGGATGGACAGCGTGCAGTGCCGTCTCGTGGGCTTCCTGGCCATGCTGTCCACGGAAGTCTCCGTCCTGCTGCTGACCTTCTTGACTCTGGAGAAGTTTCTGGTCATCGTCTTCCCGTTTAGCAACATCCGTCCAGGAAAGAGGCAGACTGCGACCATCCTCATCTGTATCTGGATAGTGGGATTTCTGATCGCTGTCATTCCCTTTTGGAATGAGGACTATTTTGGAAACTTTTATGGGAAAAATGGAGTATGCTTTCCACTTCATTGTGACCAGGCAGAGAGGAACGGAAGCAAAGAGTATTCCCTTGGAATTTTCCTCGGTAAATTATATTTTCCATTTCCTGGATAAATACCATTTTGATAAAACACCATAAGCTTTGGTAAAGATGGATATGTCCATTTCAGAAAGTAAACAAATACAGTCAAGACTCTGTCCCTTTCAAAGAAGAGTTCTTGCCATGCATTTATAGAAGCTTTTATTAAACTTTTTATTACAGAAGTTTAGTGTGGAAAACAAAGATGTACTATCAGGATCTCTGGATGACTTTTTTTATTATCTCTGCATTCCTTGATTTTGTGTTCACATACAGTGAGTGACTACAAGGTAGAAGAATTCTTGTTTAGTGCCTAGTCCTGAAATCTTACCAAGTTATTTGAACTCCTTTTTTGAAACTATCTAGCTATGAGTTAAATAAATACTAAAATTCTGGAAACTCACTAGAAAGATTTATTGCCTTTGGTAAATGCAGCTCTTAAGCTTGCAATGTAAGAATGCTTAATATGAGTTTTCCTGTTCAATCTTCTAAATTTCCCTTGATTTTTTTTTTTTTTTAGAAAAGAAGACACTAAGTTTTGTTACAAATGAAGGACATATTCAGCACCTTTAGGTTAATTTTTTCTATTGTGTAACATTCATTCTCCTTTGCCTTCTTTTTCCCTCTTCTACCTACCCAACAGGCAGTGTGGTCCTTTCTTTTTCATCAAATAATGTTTATCAGAATATGTATCTGTCTTTGTTCCTTGCAGTCTCTATCCACTGCTGTCGCCTGAATTTGCAACCGCACCCATATTGGTCTTTGTTCTCATAGCCTTCTCCTCTTCCCATTTATCTGTTCACTACTCTTCTTATCATCAAACTGGGTAAAAAAAAAAAAGGCAGTGTACACTTCTGATCAGAGGCTTTCAATGGTTCCCAATTACTTTCAAGGTTACGTTTAAATGAATCATTTAAAATTCATCATGACTCTAACCGTTGTTCCCAGATCTTCTCCATCTTCTCCATCTGTTTCTTTTCCTTCTCTGAAAAAAACAAACCTTTCATTAATACCCCGCACACACCATGCTGTTTGGTAGCTATTTCTTCATAGGTATGTCACCTGAAGATAGGCTGTTCTTGGTATTTTCTCGTTATTGTTATTTTTTTGTCAGTACTGCGGTTTGAACTCAGGTCCTTGGGCTTGTTGGCAAGCACTCCACCACTTGAACCATGACTCTAGTCCTTTTTGCTTTTTATGTTTCAAATAGGGTCTACCAGTTTTTGCTCAGACTAGTCCCAGACCAACAACCTCTTATTTCTGCCTCCCAAGTAGCTGGGATTCTAGGCAGGAGCCATCATGTCTAGAACAATGATTTGTTTCTTCATTGTTCCTATAATAATAGGTGAACGGCTAAATGGTAGAATGCCTGCCTAGCAAGTTGAGGCCCTAAGCTCAAACCCCAGTACTGCCTAAAAAAAAAATAGACAGGTGCACTTCATAGATACCCCCAACACACACACACACACACACACACACACACACACACACACACACACACACACACACACACACACACACACACACACACTATATTGCATTGAGTCGCCAAGGATTGATTTAGCACCTGCCAAAGACTATATTGGGTTCTGGAGATACAACAGACTCAGCCCTCACAGACCCTCATGGACCAGAGGGCAGGGGTACAGACAACTACACATCCTTACATCACAGACTGGTAAATGCCATGATGAAAGAGTACAGGATGTTCTAGGAGCCCCAGAGAAGTCTTCCCAGTAAATCCAAACTGACACCCACATGATGAGTGAAAAGATGATGCCAAGTGAGGGCAGAAGAAGGTGGAGTGGGAGTTCTGTTCCAAAAAACAGAGTGCATTCAGAGACTCAAAGCCAGGGAATGGACCTGAAGGTGTTTGGTATAGGGGCAGGCTCAAGACTATAATCCTTGCTACTCAGGAGGTAGAGATCAGAATTGGGGTTCGAGGTCAGCCTGGGCCAAAAATTTGTAAGACCCAATCTCAACCAATGGCTGGATCCAGTGGTGCGTGCCTGTCATCCCAACCACTTAAGGAAGCTCAGATAGGAGGATTTCAGTCCAGGCAGCCTGTGCATAACGTGAGACCCTATCTCAAAAATAAACAACACCAAGTTGGTTAGAGCGCCTGCCTAGCAAATGTGAGGCCTTGAGTTTAACCCCCACTACTGCAGAAGAAGAGGAAGCAGGAGGAGAAAGAGGAGGAGTTTGGTGTAGCTGGATCTTACAGTTAAGGCATAGGGGTCTACTAAAAGGGACTAAGCACCTGTAACATATCCCAGATACATAAAAAGATAACAATACATGTGTGCACACCACCACTACTACCACCACCATCTTCATCATTATTACCTGTATATGTATGGTTGGCATGCAATAGAAGTTCTAGAGCTTTAAATAAAGCACATTTTTTTGTTTGAAGAAAATACTATTTTTAATTAATTTTTTATTTTAAAATATTTTTAGATTTAGAGAAAGGTTACAAGGACAGTACCAATTCCCCTAGGGCTAACTCCTGACAATTAGTGCATTTAGAACACGTTCTTTTCATTCTTTCTATAAGACTCTTTTCAGAATTTGGCCCAGAGGAGCATTTTCTACCATTTTATTTTATGCTTAAGTATACTTTCTTTCTTTTTTCTTTTTTTTTTTTTTTTTTTTGTGGCACTGGGGTTTGAACTCAGGGCCTCGTGCTTGTTAGGCAGGCTCTCTTACAGCTTGAACCACTCCTCCTGCCTTTTTCTGTGATGAGTTTTTTTTCAAGATAAGCATAAGCTACAGGCATGAGCCACCAGCACCTGGCTTAACTACATTTTCTGATGTGAGACCTAAGAAAGACACACCAGTTTTATAAAACGCTATCATGTAGCCTTATAGTGTAATTCCATGGAATATGAAATGTTTTAGATAAAAATAACCTTGAATTTAAATTATTTTTCCTAGACTTCACCAGACTAACATACAGTCTAGGTTTAGATTAACATTTTTAAAACAACTGGGAAAATATATGCAAATTTTATGCTCCCTATTAGGAATGAGATAATCACTTAGAATTTTTATTATAACAAGAATAAAACAAATGAAGGAATCAAACAGTCAATTTTGATTACAGGGGACAGTGATGTCAAGGGAGAATCCTGTGAATATATTTGGCCCCAAAGGAGTGATTCAGTGCTGAGGCATAGCTCAAGTGGTAGAGCACCTGCCTAGCAAGTGCAAAGCCCTCAGTTAAAACTCAGTACTACAAAAAAAGAGTGATTCAAATAGTTGAATTTTTAAATTTTTTTCTTACTTCCTTTTCTAAAAGATTCTGAACCACAGTTGTTTAAATCACTGTCAGCAACCTGAAGAAAAATATACAAAAGTACATTTTTGTTCTATGCATCATTTTTATTTAAGACCCAAAAATATGGAATAATGTTCCTGAGGCAATAATGTTTGTGATAAATTCCAAGGTTATCTTATTCATGTGTATAAGATAAGAAAATTGGGTTATCTTTATTTTTTGAGACATGCATATGATTATAGTAATCCCTTAAGGGTTGACTTTGCAGAGAGCCAAAAACAAAAATAGATTTTTCATGTTTTAAAAAAAGCCAGAGCTTGCTTCATGGTATGTCTAGATCTGAATTTCAAGTCTGTAATTTTTCAAAAAGGTTTACGTCTTTAATTTTCTTTTTGAGTTGGAAAACTCAAATCCTTTATCGTATTTCTTAAACTCAGGAATTTTTCAGCTAAATACCACTGGGCTTATACAAAAGAATGTTTATTGGAGGTACAAGTGTGTAAGAAGTACCATATTCAATAGCTAAGTACCCCACTGTTTTAGTGTTGACGTATGCACCTGAGATGTTAAGTTGTCTGCTTTTCCCAACAGGTGTGAACTTGCTGGCTTTCCTCATCATTGTATTTTCCTATATTACTATGTTCTGTTCCATTCAAAAAACCACCTTGCAGACTGCAGAAGTGAGGAACCACAATGGAAAAGAGGTGGCTGTTGCAAATCGGTTCTTTTTTATAGTGTTCTCTGATGCCATCTGCTGGATTCCTGTGTTTGTAATTAAAATCCTTTCCCTCCTCCAAGTGGAAATACCAGGTCAGTCCCTTCTATCATTCCCATCGTTCTATCTTGCCCTTTGTTTGACAAGCCAGAATTTAGGATGCTGCCTTACATATCCTAAGCTCACCATAGGCACCTATGACTTCAATACAAAGAGGTAGTACTTCCTCCAGTGTTTATAATCAGTATTCTGAATTGGGTAATGGTGCAATCCAGCAAGGAATAATTTTTAAAAATTTTAAAGGAGCTAAAGAGAAAAGTTGGATTACCTTGCTTCTACCTACGCTAGATAGTGGCTCTTAACAAGGAGTATGAAAAATAACCAAAATGTACATGTCCCTGGTCCACTCAGGCCTCTGAGTTTAGTATCTGGGAGTCAAGGCCTGTACATGGATGTTTTGTCAAGTTCCCCAGTGATTCTGATGTGCACACACCTAGAAAGAACCATCAGTCTATTCCATAGTTCTAGCCATGAAATGTCACACTGGGGTCTATGGCGTGCTAGATATTCCATGGAAATGCCTCACCCAGAAGGCCAGGTTCCCAGCATACAGCCCCAGTTCAGACAGAGAAAATAACCTTTCATTAGTTAGGAGTTTACTTGAAACCCATTCTGAGACCTAGAAACCGCAGCGATTGGGGGACCTCCTAGGGTTTTAGCTTGACTCTGTAAAACAGAGTCTGGGATGGCTTTCAACTTACTGGTTCAGCCAATAGCAGATCCACTTGAAGCATTAATCCAGGGCAGGAAATGTGTCTTTTTTATTATGGCATCCCAGTGTCACCTATGGTGTCTGGCACATCCTGATAGAAGACTGGCAAGTACACAAATGACAAGCAGCTATAATGACCTCTTTCCCTCTAGCTTTGACTTGTGCACAAAGTCATCACAAGTGTGCAAAATGGCACACATAGCCATGGTAGTCCCTTAACCTATTAGCTTCGTCTCCACAATCAAGCATAAATGTCCCTGGAGCCATGTGAGATAGAGAAGTGAAAATCAGGAGGGAGATCAGGGCTGGATATTTGGGAAACTTTTCTGTTCTGGTTGGTCAGAATAGAGGCCATAAGAATTTTTTGAGAGATCACTCTGGGCAGTTGTACTTTGAAAAACAAAGTTAGTTAAATATTAATGGTCACAGATGTTCTCTTGAATAGTCTCCAATCTATGACTACTACCTGGACAACTCAACTTTTACATCCTACCACTTGAAATTCAACAGGACCAAACTGTCCATTGGCTTCACTGCTCGTGGGATAAAACCCAAATGCAGGATTAGCATTATAATATCTCTTATGTCCTACCCACCCTCTCATATTCTATGATCCAAGTCCATTGGAATGATTTGACTTTTTCCTCCTGCACTTTTCTGATATGACATCAGGTTTGCTGAAGTTCTTCCCTCCACCTGAATTATACTCGTAATCACCAAGATCTTAGCCTCCTAAACACCCTTCTCATCTCAGAAGGCTCAACCCAGATGTTCCCTCCTCCACAGTGTCTTTCCAGACCTCTTTCCACCCACTTCCATCCAATCTAATTGAGTAACCATCCAGGATATCTTGATTGCACTTATTAGTCTCATCTGAGCTGCCTCACACCAGCACTGGTTTTGAATATGTCCATTGCTGCCTTTCAGATTACAAATCAGAATGATAGGGACCATGTCTTACTCATCTTTGCACTTCCCTAAGTGCTTTTCACACAGTGCTATTCAGTAAATGAGAGAGCAGTTGTGTGCTATCCTAGGGAGAGCGTCAGATGGCAGGAGCTCATAAGGATGCCCACAAGCAGAGGACCCCCGAAGTGGAGGATTCCCCAGTGGATCAGGAAGCTGAACTCATCCAGAAAGGCTGGATTGAATGGAGTTTGTCTCCATCAACTTTCCCACTCCTGTCTCCACCCGTGAGGTACTTCCCCAGCCCAGGCATCCGCTTCGCTTGGATGTTAGGGGTAGTGATAGAAGGTCCTGGCATCATGAAGCAGGAATTCCAGGCTCCTGTCCTGACTTAGCCGAGAGACCTGTTGAAGGAGCATAGCGAGGTCACCTCACCTCACTGACACTATTTCTAGATTTTCTCTCAAATTCCTCCCACTTTTTCACAATTCCAAGTTTTGTTAACTCCTTGAGGACTTTTCTCTCTGTATTAGTTTGCTAGGGGTGTCATAATAAAGTATCACAGAAATTTATTTTCTCATGGTTCTGGAAGCTGAAGTCCAAGATCAAAGAGTTCGCCAGTTTGGTTTTTTTGTAAGGCCCCCCTCGTCTTGCAAATGGCCACCTTTTTCTTTGTTTTCACATGGCTTGCCTCCACTTGTGCATCCTGGTTATCTCTTCATATATCCAAACTTCCTCTACTCATAAAGATCTTATAATGTCAGATTAGAATAGGACTCACCTTACTGACCTCATTTTATTTTACTTATTTCTTTAAAGGCTCTGTCTCCCAATATAGGCACATTCAGAAACACTGGGACGTCAGCATATGAATTGGGGGGGGGCGTGATTCAGCCCACAGTATTCTCTGATTTGGAGTCAGGAGATGTCTGGTCATCAAGGGCACCCGATGGCAGCCGTTTAGATCATGATAAACTTAATTACAACCTCATGAAAATCAATAGAGCAGGAAACATATGATTGAGCCGTACAACAGTAGTTCTTCTCTACATTGATGTTCACTACTTCAAAGTTGGTCTGGAATACCTTGGTGGACATAGGCAAAAATATTTTATTGCATGTCACAAATCTCTTCTTGCATGTCCAACTTATGGTGCCACATGAAAATGCTGTCGTCATAGATCTAATTCACCCTGCCCCTGGCCTCTCAGAGCTCTGGGGTCTGCCAGTCAAGGCATACACAAAAGATAAGCCAGCATCAGCCTTCCTGCCTCAGAACTCCACCACTGATCTTAAATTAGAGGGTCTCCCTGAAAATGAACAGGAAGCTTCACTCAGAATGCACATTACATAGAACTTATGTGGCATTTGTCATTGCCCAATTGAAATGAGGTGTTCTCAGGAATTGTTTTCTGCCAGGTTGAGGGTGAGATTGTTGGTGGGGGAGAGGGTACAACAGACAAAAAAAACAACATAGTTTGTTACCTCTTCAGATCATCTGGGTTTTTTTCAATTAAATTTAAAATTTAGGGGTTTTCTCCATTTTCTTTCCAGTTTTTAAAAAAATGACAAGGAAAAGAAGATGAAATGGGGGAAGAGGAAGGCAAATACAGGAAAGAAGAGGGAAGATTTCTTTTAAAAGATAGAGGAGGGAAGGTCATATAAGCAGTCAGAAAACAATGGAAATAAAATAGAGAAAGAATGAAGGTATTTAGGGAACAAAGGAGGGTCAAGAGAAGAACAAAATTACAGTAGTAAAGGATAAGAAAACTGTAGGGTTGGAGAAGGAGGAGAGACTGACAAAGGATAGTGAAAATGTCATTGGCCTCACTCTGCAGCTATTCACCTGCCCTGGGAGTGCTTTGAACTTTTGACCACATAGGAGAAGACAGCATCATGGTGGAATTCGAGGATCTCAGGTGTTAGTGCTGAAAAGAGATGCCCATGGAACTACTAGCTGAAACTCTTGACTCAGTCAATCAAACTCCCCCCAGTCCCCTTTTACAGAGAAGCTGAGGTCAAAAGAGTGCAGGGAACAAAAGAAATTCATCAAGCTTGGGGGAAATAGCCCTCCTTCCTTTTCAAATCTTCAGTAATAGATAACAGCATCCTAGGGCATCAGGGAAGGATCTCCAGGATTGGATGGAAGTACTACCAAGGTCAGATCTGGCTGCCAGACCAGAAGTTTCTTGAAACCTGCTTTGTTGCTTAAAGATTATTTCCACATTTTCTTGTTTCCCTATAAATGAAAGCAAGAAAAACACATTGTACTAAAACTTATAATTTATAAAGTGTTTTTAGATTATTTCTTCCAGCTTTGTCCCCAAAAATCTGCAATTTAGTTACTGAAATTCAGAAATGTTAAATGGTATGACCTTGAACCCATAGCTCCTGTGTTCTTTCATAATGGATATTTTTTCAATAAGGTAAGAGGAAGCCTAAATGTACTAAGTAGCCCCTTATTAACAACATTAGCTGTGAAGTACCATGGCTATTTTACGTCTATTTAAACCATTACCTTCAGGTTAGAGGTGTAGTTCAGTGGTAAGGCAGGTGCAAGACCCTAGGTTTGATCCCCAACACTGCAAGAAATAAAATAAAAATAAGAAATCTTCACCTTTTTTTTCTCATATCTTGTTTCCTTCTTTAGGCACAGTTACTTCCTGGATAGTGATTTTTTTCCTTCCCATAAACAGTGCCTTGAACCCAATCCTCTACACTCTTACCACCAGTGTTTTTAAAGACAAGTTGAAACAGCTGCTGCACAAACATCGGAGGAAATCAATTTTCAAAATTAAAAAGAAAAGTTTATCTACATCCATTGTGTGGACAGATGACTCCTCTTCCCTGAAACTTGGGATTTTGAACAAAATAACCCTTGGGGACAGTATAATAAAACCAGTTTCCTAATATTAGTTTTGGATCACTGGATTTTCAAGGGACTACCTAACACAAGGTATAGCTTTTGGAATATGGCGTCTGCATTGCTTTTCATCCTGACCAGTGGTAACCCCATGCCACACAAGGGGCCCAGCTGACTGACTTCTGGCCCTGCATTCCAGTGGCGGCTCTACTACCGATCAACTGTGCTGAGAAATGCACCAAAGGGCTCTTCTCCTCATCCTCACCTGCTTCAGATGGACAAGTGAATCCACAGAGAGTAGGCTGATATGCAATTAACCTCTAGCTAGTCAAACACTACCAACCTACCCAAGGATGCTCACATGTAGTCTTCTTTTCCACTGTCCACAAAACAAAAGGATTCACAACAGATTATTTCAGTGTGGCCATAATACCATAAATCTAACATCGCCTTCTTTGCTTTTTTAGTATCAAATAAAATCAGCATCCTGCAGATGCTTTGATAGCAAAGGATTTCTGAGATGTTCATCCACCTCAAGTCCTACTTTGGAGGCTGGTGGGGTAGCAACGTTGAAAGCAGAACTTCATGCCAAGTTACCTTGTTTAACATGCCCAAAGAGGCACACTGTTCAAGCCTACTACCTTTTGACTTTTATTTAAGCTCAGAAGAGCTGAGGTCTTAAACAAGATATTTTTCTTAAAGTTGCCCAGGCACAAAGGAAAATTGGGCACCCCAATTGCCAAAAACTATGATTTAATATTTTTAAGGATAATTTCTTTATAGCAGTATTTTTGTTGCCAGTAAGTTCAGCTTTCCTAGAACATACAGATGAGAAGTATTAGAGGAGATTCAAGAAGAATGCTTTGATTTTATTTACTTGTATTAATTCATATTTTTTTAAACAAAAAGAAAAGTAACTTTGGATTGAAAATGCTTGTGAAGGCCTGGACATTTTTTATACTGAAAGTTTATATGTGAAAAAAGGAGATCAGGTAAATAAAGTTATATTTTGCATTTGTCCATATATTATTTTAAGTTCAACAAAGACTGTGGATAGGGTCTTCTGATTACTAAGCTTGTTTCTTCTGGTAAAGAATAAAGCTAGGAAGCCCAGCACTTCATCTAATAAGACACATCTTAAATCTTTCTTCCTCCCCTCCCCTTCTATTTTTTTGTGAACTGTTTGCCCAGGCTGGCCTGGAACTCAGCCTCCCAGATAGCTAAGACTACAGGTGTGAGCCACAGGGCCCAACTTTCTTTTGCCCTTTAACCAAAGCATGAAACATCAGTAAGTTAATTTCTTCACCATTCACTTCATTCTGAGTTCCTTTAATGAGATGAAATGCAAGCATCTGCCTGAGAATACTGTCACCTTCTGTTAGGTACTGAATGGGATGTCCTTTTACCCAGTAGCCTATCCAGGAGACAAAAATACTCAGCTTGTATGTCATACCCATCCTGTTAATTTACTTATTATTACTTAATATTGACTAAAACCACAATAAAAGTTCCTTCATTTTGATCAAGTAATATATTTCTATGTAAAGTAAAATCTTTCTGTTAAGATTCTAGAAATAATGTCCTCTCCCCTGGGGACTAAAATGCCCTTTTTCCTTATGGTTTCAAACGTTTCTCTGCAATATGATGAACTGCCTTCATAATTTGTTCTCTAGATTCGCCAACATTTTATTAAATATCCTTTGCAAATCCTTGATCACTGCTATGGTTTGGATCTCAAACATCTCCCAAAGGCTTGTGTGTTGAAGGCTTAATCCCCAGATGATGGCACAGTTGGGAGGTGGTGAAACCTTCAGGAGGTGGGACCCAGTTGAAGGAAGTTGGGCTACTAATGACATGCCCTTGAAGAGATATTGGGGTACAGCCCATTCCTCTCTATTTGCTTCCCAGCTGCTGTGAGGTGAACAGTTTTCCTCTGCTATGTGATCCTGCCATGATGTACTGTGCCACTAGAGGCATAAAAGAAACAGGGCCAAGCAACTATGGACTGAAACCTCCAAAAGAAATCTCCCTTCATTTAAGTTATCTCAGGGATTTGCCACAGTGATGGAAAGCTGGTTCACACAATCACTATATAATTTATTTCCTCATACAGTTCCCAACAGCAGGAGCATAAATAAGGAATAGACCCTAAGCCTAAGTATCTTCATTTTGATACAAATGTGCATCTACATTCTTGAAAAGCATTGTCCATGGCCAGTGAACCAGGCCTCTGAGAACAGTCAGCTGTTACTGTTGAGCAGTAAGCATGAGAAATAAAAGATCAGAGGCTTCTGGGAAATCCACAGCCATATGGAATAATGGGAGTTATATACTGGTCAACAACATCCCAAAAAATAGCTAAAGTTGAAATCTGATAGCTTAGTGATTACTCGTACTCTGTACTGCTATCTAGATGGAAAACTAGTAGAAATATGTGTACTTTTTAATAAATAATGGTCTTTTATCTATAGTGAGTGAGATCTCTTGTTAGGTCAAGATTATTTTGTAAGCCCAGTATTTCTGTGTGGTTATGAAAACAGTACCTGAGTTTATGAACATTTTCTCTGACAATGTACACATCAATTAGCTATCGCTCCAGAACTGTAGAAGCCACAGGCTGTGCCATCTGAACAGGGAGGGTAGGGCCAGTCACCTGCCCCAATCCCGACCATGCATCTGTACATGACTGAAATCTTATCTCGAAGGGAAAGGGAAAGACGCAAGTCAATGTGGCGCCTCAGAGGAGAGTACAGAAGGAGTACAGAGACAATCTGTGCTAGCTATAGACAAGCTTATTTACATAGCTTTGTTTCTTTCTTTTTTATTATTATTATTAGCATATTATAGTTGTACAGGGGATACACTGTGACAGTTACATAGTGTTCACAATATATCATAATTAGATTCACCCCCTCCATCTTTCTCCTTTATCCCCGCTCCACTTCCCTCTTAGAACAATTTCAACAGTTTTCATTGTTCTATTTTCACACATGAATACAAAATACTTCCACCATATTTGCCCTCCTTCACCCTTTCCTTAGGCCCTCCCACCTCCCACTGGTACCCACCCTGGGCAGGACCTGTTTTCCTTCCTGTCCTTCATTTATTAAAAAATAAATAACATTTTTGTTGGTTTGTGATAGTTTTACAGGTGGTTATGTTGTAACATTTCCATATGTATATATATATATATATATATATATATAATATCCCAAAGTGTTTCATCCACTCCATTATTCTCCCTCCCACCATATTCCCCTTCTTATTGTTTCATTATTAAGGCTCAGTTCTTTTTTCTATCAAGATAGGTTAAGCCCATTGCAATTGCTGAAAAACTTCTTGATGGTCTAAAGCTTTAAATGAAATTATACACATTTGAGCTTGAGGCAAGAGCAGTAACACCGTTCCCCACCTCCACCTCACACCCTGTGCTACAGCTCCATCCACCAGGACTCCATAGCATACTGGAGTTACAAAAGCACACCTGCCACCCTCTTAAGGACGTTAATATCTTAAGGATGACTCTGCTGCCAGATAAAGTCCAGAATTAGTGACTTGCTATCTATCTGCTTATGCTTTGTTTTCAAAAATTTATCTCACCCCAGATGATTCTTCACTCTGCTCCACCCTTCACAAGTTAGTAAGCAATGTGGAGACCCAGATTAGAGTTGTAGCTTCCAAAAATTAACCAGGAATACATGTGAGGCATATTTCTTTTTAGTTTTTCAGTATAACAAAAATGGGACCATGTGAAGTTGCTTTAACCTGTACTGAAGAAATAAAATAATGCTGGGTGCTTGTAATCCCAGCACTTGGTAGACTGAGGCAGGATGATCAAAATTTTGAGGCCAGCCTGGGCTACATAGAAAGATCCTGCCTCAAAAACAAACAAAAACCTTGAAGATAAGTACTTTTATTTTGTATTTCCTTACTCTGATGAATGAGAAAGGGAGAATGATTACAAAGCTTTGTCTTCCTATGTATCTGTTTATATGCCAGTTATCTGACATCCTATTTATGCAAGATGGAAGATGTATATTTAATAACGGTCATGTTTAGGCCTGAACCACAAAACATAAAATGAAATTAGGCTATTCTTTTCAATGACTTTTTGGTAAGAGATTTCAAAGTTCTTGAGAAATGCTTCTTAAACTCTGCACACTGGTTGAAACCTATTACCCAATATGTCACTAGCAAAGTCTGCAGGATATTTCCCCACATGGCACATATGAGAGGAATAAATTACAAATGAAGAAATAAGGAACAGCAATGCCTAAGCTATGAAATAGCAGATCCTGGAAATGGGGACCTTGTTCTGTCTCAACAGACTCACCCCAACACACAGAGACACGTCTTAACTTATACTCATTTCCCTGGACCACCTGGGAACCAAGACCACTTTTACTGGTTTGGTGGTTCTCTGAGCTCATGGTACTATGGTGTTTGATGCAGTGATTTTGTAACGGAAGCCATACCTGTTATAGGCAACATACCCTTAGGGCAAGGAGATCCAGGGTCAAAAGTAAAAAGACTGGAGACACAGCTTCAGTTCAACCATCAGCTACATACATTACCTCACACAAATATCTTTAAAGCTCTTCTGCAAACAGAATTTCCTTTTTTTTTTTTTTTTTTTTTGCAGTTCTGGGGCTTGAACTCAGGGTCTTCACCTTGAGCCATTCTGCCCTTTTTTTGTGATGGTTTTTTTTGAAATATGGTCTTGGAAACTATTTTCCCAGGCTAGCTTCAAACTATGATGTTCCTGATCTCTGCCTCCTGAGTATCCAGGATTACAGGCGTGAGCCACCAGCACCTGGCAAACAAGAGTTTTCTTAAAATCATATTACATACACAGATATCTGCTCCCCTTTCTGTTAATGTCTATTATATGTTTTAAGATAAAACCATATGCTGATGGTTTAAGTGTTAAGTAGCTTAAAAATTACATCAAGTGCATAGATCATTGGATTCTCAACTTCCCTGGGATATTACACATTTTTCAGGAAAAATTTAAGCCAGATACGGCAGTGCATGCCTGTAGTCCTAGCTACTCTACACACCAAGGCAAGAGGATCACTGAGTCCTGCAGTTTGAGATCTGCCTAGGAAACATAGCAAAATCCAATCTCAAAATTTAAAGAAGAACAACAACAACAAGAGGAGAAGGAAGGAGGGACAGGGGGAGGAATCAATGCACACTGTACCAATGTTCAGAAATCTACTTCTTCCAGTAGAGGCTTACAAAGCCCCATTCTGCTGTGAAAAAATACTGACGTAGGCTGGTGGAGTGGCTTAAGTGGTAAGAGCACCTGCCTAGCAAGCCTAAGGTCCTCAGTTCAGCCCCAGTACTGCCAAAAAAACCCGTAACAAGACAATGAAATCTGTTGAAGCTGTTTTCACAAGGGGAATGAGGGAGAATGATGGAGGGGGGTGAGTCTAACCAAGGTACACTGTAAGCATGTATGGAAAATGTCACAATGAAACGCCCTGTGTAACTAATAAATGCTACTAAAAATGCTTTTTAAAAATCTGCTTTTTTACTCCAGATCTCCATTCTCTCTCTGTCTCCCTATTGTTCTCTCTCCCCATGTACACAGTGTTGGTGCCTTTCTGTGTGTACAGGCAGTGTTTGGAGAGGGATTATGAGACCAGACTGAGGCCAAAGTAAGATAGACATGTTGAGCAAACCAGAAAAGAGACTGGCTAATTACATTCATTTTTACATTCTCAGCCTGCTGTCAGTGTCCTACGTTGATGCGGACCTATCTGACTGACAAGCTGTCTTACAGCATCAGAATAATAACAGAAGTACATC